TACACCAAGGAAAAGGCAGCAGAGATTTACTCTCACTGGCGCGACTCGAAGAAGACACTTACGGTGGCGCACGAAGAGGAACTGGCGCGACGCAAAGCAGAGGAGCTTCGTCAGAAAAGCCTCGCCGAGTCGCGCGGCACACTCACCTGGGAGGACGAAGAGGGGAGCGCCTCCAATGAAGGGGGGTGGGGGAGTGCCTGCGGATGGGGCACAAGCGACACAAGTGGATGGGGAGCAGCAACTGGCGGAAACACTTGAGGATGGGGCGCCGCATCTGCCGGCGAAACAGGTGGCTGGGGCACCTCTGGCGAAGGCTAGGGAGCTTCCCGCGAGGACCAAAGGGGGGAAGAAGAAGCAGACAAAGAAGCAGAACCGGCTATTGTTCCTCTTGGTCGCCCTCCACATCGCCCTGCACATGCACTTCCGCCGCCTGACATCCCGCCGCAGCGCGACTCTTGGGACACCATCAACTGGGGGAACGAGCCCTCAACCCCACGGCGTACCGACTACGGGCCCGTCCCCGAGCCGCGTGAACCAACTTTCGTGCTTGGAAATGTCCCTGGAACTAATATTCCCCTCTCTGTAATTCTTGATAGGGAATTTCTTGCACTGATGATGACCACATGCACTGGTGAAGAAGCAGAAGAAACATCAGCACCTGCCCCAGTACCTGATGAAGATCCCGACGCAGCACGCACGCGCTACATGCGCACCTTTGGATTCCGCGCCGACGATGCACTCTGACATCAGCGCCTCGGTCACCCCTCGCGCGTCACATTGAAGAACTACATCGAAGCTGGCGTGTTCGCACCTGGCGCGCTCCTGCGACCTTACGGTACCGAAGTGAATGGCGCAACAAATCCGCGCACCTGCAAAGTCTGCCCAGAAGCTGCATTGAGCCACCAACCTTTCCCCCTTCTCGAACCTGGAACCAACCGCTACGCTAAGCTGGAGAAACGTGGGACATTGTGGCATCAACGACGAGCTCTACACGCTCACCTTTGTCGACGCCGGAACGCGCTACGTGTGGGTCGTAAACGTGGAAGCGCGCAGCAGAGCGTACGAGGTGTTCCGCCTGTGGCTGGCGCACACGAAGCGACAGTCTGGGGAGAAGTTCAAAATCTGGCAGTCTGACGGCGCGGCGGAGTTCAGGAGTAAGAAGCTGCAGGATTTCCTCGCGCAGAAGGGGATTGAGCACCATATTTCTCTCCCCTACGCACATCAGCAGCAGGGTGTAGCCGAGCGTACCAATTGCACGCTCATGACGAAAGTGCGCGCGCTGATGAAGCATTCGAAGCTTCGGACGTACGCGATGCACCACGCCGTGCGGGTGCACAATCTGCTGTCAACCACCGCGATCACCGGCAAACTCTCTCCACATGTGAAGTGGACGGGCACCAAGGGGGACACATCCATGCTTCGTGTGTGGGGGTGTATGGTGCAGTACCACCTCGGGAGATTCAAGAGTCGCGCGTGCTGGGGAATCCACCTCGGCATCAGCCACGAGTGCAAGGCGTGGCTCATCCTGGACCTCTTGAGCCAGAAGATAAAAAATGTGCGCGACGTCGTTTTCTACGAGCGCCTCTTCCTCCAGCAAATCCGCGAAGATGAGTAGACCAACGCAAACCGCGTTTATGCCAATGATGGGCACAACTACGCCACGCCAGAAGACGAAGCCGCCGCGGCCATTCTGGAGCAAAATCCCAGAAGTGAATTTACTTGAGGTGATCGTTGCGACAACGACGATAATGACAACTCGTCCAAAGGAGGAGTAGGCGCAGCAGGAGGCGCAACGGGAGGAAGCGGAAGCGGCGGAGGCGCAGCACCACCAGCGCCACCTGAGCCGGAGAGTGACGACGACGACGTGCAGGAGGTTGTCCCACAGCATCGCTACGACAGCACCGTCACTGGAATGCAACTCCTCGGACTTCACACCGCCATCTCAACGGCGCCGCGCATCATCGAGCCGAAGAACCCGCGCCAAGCTCTCACGGGACCCCATAGCAAGGAGTGGCGCGAGCCGATGGACGCGGAGATCAGGGCACTCGAGTCACGCGACACCTGGGTGCTCGTCGACCGCGCAGCAGTCAAGGGAAGAAGAATTCTCTCCGGCAAATGGGTTTTTCGTGTGAAGACCGCATCTGACGGCACGATCGAACGATTCAAGGCGCGCTGGTTCGTAACGATCAGAAGCACGGGATTGACTTCAATCAAACATTCGTGCTGGTGAGCCATCACACCTCCGTCATAATGCTCCTCGCCATCGCTGCCGTACGACATCTGCGGCTCCGACAAATCGACGTGAAGAACGCGTTACTATACGCGTTAGTGGATGCGGTAATCTACTTGGAGCAGCCGCACACATACGGCGAAGGGGATTCGCGCGTCTGTCAGCTGCGAAAATCCCTTTACGAGATCAAACAAGCGCCAAGGCTCTGGCAGCAGTATCTGCACAATATCCTGCTTGAAATTGGGTTCAAGCAGCTGCCGCATGATCCAGGGATGTATCGCCGCGATTTTCGCGGCGAATACATCCTACTGACGGTTTACGTCGACGACCTTCTCTACACAGGATCAAGCCCCGAATTGCTTGAGCAGTTCGAGAAAAATCTCGTGACCCGCGTCGACATCACCTGCAACCATGACATGAAGCAGTTCCTTGGCCTCAACATCACCTACTCTCCAAAAGCCATCCACCTCTCAGCAGCCAAGTATGCAAAAGAAATTGGGAAACGCTTCAACATTGCACCTGCACCGCTCTTCACTCCTTACCGCACTCCAGGACCCAACCACAAGCCTGACAACAAAGCCCTGTCCCCTGCTGGGTCAAACTTATCAGCAGCAGTTGGGATGCCTGCTCTTTGCGTCTGTCACCTGCAAGCCCGACTTCTCTTACATCGCGAGCCAGTTGGCTCAGTTTCTACGCAAACCAACGGCTGAGAATCTACTAGATCTTCAGCGAGCGCTTCAATTTTTCATTTCTACGCCCAATGCTGGGCTCTGCTACTCAACCATCCCAACCTCGTCGTTCAACCTCATCGGCTATGTGGACGCCGATCATGCTGCTGACCCCGACAATCGACGGTCCAGGACAGGCTTCCTTTTCCGCCTTGAGCCCAGCGGCCCCATCTCCTGGAATTCGCAAAAGCAGGAGTTGGTTGCCCTGTCATCGGCAAAAGCTGAGTTTATCGCAGCAACAGCAGCTGTTCGTGAAGGCCTCTACCTTCAGGAGCTGTTGCAGGAGGCAAAAAATTCAGCCTCGGCGAACTTTCGCCTGCACTGCGACAACCAGAGTGCGATCAGGATCGCGAACAAGCCGGGATTCATCAACCGCACCAAACACATCGCGCTGCGGTATTTCTTCGTCAAGGACGAAGTTGACAAGGGCAAGGTTGACCTAACCTACTGCCCGACGGATGACATGGCAGCTGACTTCCTCACGAAAAAACTGCCGCGTCAGCAGTATCAGCACTGCTCCGAACTCAGCGGAGTAGTCAAGCAGGTCAAGACTTGCAGGAGTGAAGGGGGGTGTTACAAATAGTGAAAAATGAATGAACTATTGTGCACTACATACCGCAGGAAGCGAAGCAGGCACTACCGAGGTTGAAGACGAAAAGGCAGAAAGTGACGCGAAGGGTCATACGGTTACGAAAACATCTGGACAGTCGGGCAGACAGCATCAGGCAGCAGCAGTGGCGAAGATTCTGCCCGAACGGTTTCGTAACCACCTGGAGTCGCATGGTTAAGTTTCGCTGTAATAAGGGAATGTACCCCTTAGAGTACATGGCTAGCTATGTCGTTTCGTATTTCCCTGTACTCTTACTTATAGTGCTGTATTTGCATGTTTTTATCATCTCAAGCATTTATACTCACTCTGATATTGAGGTCAAGGGCCCACCACCATTAAACCAGTAATGTGCGAACCTTTCCGAGGTGATCCTGGGTTCGATCAACATCTGATCGCAGCAACACATATGCACAAAATTTGAAAGAACTAATTCATTGACCGATGGATACACAACATAATTTAAAATCATGGAAAAAAAATTGATAAGTGTGTAGAGGTTCGGGATATCTTATTTTCGAACAAGTTTGAGTCTAAACATTTTTCCGAAGAGTGTTGTATCAAAGGAACCCGTTCACAACAATTCCCGCCCTGTATCTGTGCCTGACAATTCCCAAGGCGCTGCGAGTAAGTCAGGCATTCGAAACACACCACCACCACACGAACAACCAGTGACACCAACAACCCACTGAAAGTCACACGACCCAGAGCAAGAGCTAGGAAACTATAACGCCAGGAACCAGGAGAGTTAGACAGCTAGGAATGCATATTCCGCCATAGCCCACAACAAGCTGACCGTCGGATCATTAGGTCAGTATAGGTGATTTCTCTCTGTTTGTCAGTTAATGCGTTTTTTAGTCATGCTGTGTCTCGCTAATAGCCTTTGAAATGTTGCTTTTCGACGTTGACTTATTTTCCGAGTCGTCGTGTTAAAGCGTGTCGGCGCCATCCAGCTCCCAGCAGCTATCATCGCTGTCACTTTCGTTGCTGCTATCGCTGCCATTGTCGCTGGCCGTCTCACTTTCATCGTAAATACGCGAAATAGACTCTGCTTTTGACTCTTTGTCTGCCATTGTTCTGCCAATCGTCGACGCTGTTTAAGAGGACCGCGCTGAGAGTTTCTTACTACCAATCATGCATGCGAGTACAGACTATTGAGTAACTCGCAACCAAAGTCGTGTGTCACCCTGGAATGCAATTACGTGATAACTTTCGAAGCTGGAGGCACTCGAAGCTAGAGAGTGTGGCGGGCTTGAGAAGAAGGCGAGGACGGCCCACTGCCACTGGCGGAGTGCGTGCCTCGACTCCTCGGCTGTTTCACGCTGTGTTGCTGCCAGCGCGAGCAGAGAATGTCGATCACCCATTGCCACCTCTCTAAACTCCTCCAAATATTCCCCCATCGCTCTTTTCCCGGTGTCCCCATCAACGTGCAGACATGGTTTCGCGAGGGCTACCAGTGTTGGCCGGTGAGCGGGAACTGCGACCTCAACAACGATTGCTGCCCTGCCTAGACCTCTTCCCTCCACCCACACACACCCACTCTCTCCGCCTTTTTTTCTCTCTCGTCTCTTCCGTACCATCACCTATACTCAAACGTGGTGCCGCGAGGGCTACCAGTGCCGGCCTGTGAGCGGGTACTGCGACCTGAAGAACGACTGCTTACACTTGTTCCACTCTCCCCCCTCTTCCTCCCCTGTGTGCACACGTACGTTTAGACGTGGTGTCGCGAGGGCTACCAGTGCCGGCCAGTGAGCAGGTACTGCGACCTGAAGAACGACTGCACGGACGGCAGTGACGAGGAGTTTGAGCAGTGCTACCCTACTACAAGGACCTGCGCAAGGACCTCTGCAAGCCGCAGGGGAAGGTGAGTATATCGTTGCGTGGTGTTCTGGTTGTACTCTTGACGCCATTCACAGAGGACTCCAAGCAGTTGCCGCAGCAACGAGGAGTTTGAGCAGTGCTGCCCCTACTACAAGGACCTGCGCAAGGATCCGTGCAATCCCTAGGGCCTGGTGAGTCATTATTCAGGTCCGTTGGGCTAATCGCTAAGCTATTGATACCCGGATTTCCGCCGTGACATTGACAACTTTGAAGCCAGGATAAGGCTAAGCAGCAGCTGAAGAATTGTGATCTTAATGCTGTGCAATCCCGAGACTGAATGGCACTGCAATCCTAGACCGTCCTCTCCTCCGTCCCCCTCAGCGGGCCTTCTCCCTCCATAAACTCCTTCCTCCTCTCACAGCACCTTCCTTCCCCCCTCGTCCTCTCCGCCTTCCCCCTCTTAGCGCGCCTACCTCCCTCCTCCGTCCTCTCCTCCTTCCCCCTCTCATCACCCGTCATTCTCCCGTCTGCCCTCTCCTCCTTCCCTTTCTCATCACCCTTCCTTCCCCCCCCTGTCCTCTCCTCCTCCCCCCTCTCATCAACCTTCCTTTCCCCCTCCGTCCTCTCCTCCTTCCCCCTCTTAGCGCGCCTACCTCCCCCGTCCGTCCTCTCCTGCTCCCCCCTCTCATCACACTTCCTCCCTCCCTCTGTCCTCTCCTCCTACCCCCTCTCATCAACCTTCCTTCCCCCCTCCGTCCTCTCCTCTGTCCCCCTCTTAGCGCGCCTTCTTCCCCCTCCGTCCTCTCCTCTGTCCCCTTCTTAGCGCGCCTTCTTCCCCCCTCTGTCCTCTCTCTGTCCCCCTCTTAGCGCGCCTTCTTCCCCCTTCCGTCCTCTTCACCTCCCCCCTCTCATCACCCTTCCTCCCCCCCTCTGCCCTCTCCTCCTTCCCCCTCTTATCACCCTTCATTCCCCCAACTGTCCTCTCCTCCTCCCCCCTATCAACCTTCCTTCCTCCCTCTGTCCTCTCATCCTCGCCCGTCTCATCAACCTTCCTCCTCCCCCTCTGTCCTCCCACTCTTATCAACCTTCCTTCCCCCCTCTGTCCTCTCCTCCTCTCCCCTCTCATCAACCTTACTTCCCCCCTCTGTCCTCTCCTCCTCCCCCCTCTCATCAACCTTCCTTCCCCCCTCCGTCCTCTCCCCCTCCCCCCTCTCGTCACCCTTCCTTCCCCCATCTGCCCTCTCCTCCTTCCCCCTCTCATCACCTTTCCTTCCCCCCTCTGTCCTCTCCTCCTCCCCACTCATCAACCTTCTTTCCCCCCTCTGTCCTCTCATCCTCCCCCCTCTCATCAACCTTCCTCCCCCCCTCTGCCGTCCCCTCCTCCCCCCTCTCATCACCCTTCCTTCCCCCCTCTGTCTTTTCTACGACATATATACCGTTCCACTCCCCATTCTGCAGAGATGGCGAGGGGCCAGCAGGAGGTGCCTTTTTTTGAATTGGAGGAAGAGATTCTCAACGACCCTGTGCTTGTGGAGAGATACTTTGTGCAAGCGAGGGGAGCTTATATTAGGGGTCTGTACGCAGTGTATCTTGTTTTAGCGCGCACCTTAGTTGTCCTTCAAGTCATGGCCAGCAGCAATGTTCTGCAAGAGGCTCAATTAATGTAAGTGCGGGTTCTAGTTGTGGTGAGTTGGGCAAGGCAGAGGGAGGAGGGCGGGAGGGGAACTTGGAGGGACAGGATACATGCGTTGGTGCGCTTGCGCGTTCGATTGTATGTGCAAATGTATTTTTCTGTCTTGCTCCGCTGCCGCTTGTTTATCCTGCATTTTCATCGTTTTGTTCACAAAACCTTCGTTATGCCCTCATGGTTTTCTCTGTTTCTTTTGTTTTTCTCCTTACCTCTCTATTTGTCACAGAGACTGGCAGGCCGCTGTGGATGGAAACATTCCTGAACGTCTTTTACGACGGGGTGAGCAAAGGATGCGGGTTAAACTTGTGGTCGCTCGCTACCAGCAAATGGTAAGTCAAGTCGTTATTACCCTCTCTGGCAAGTTTTGTCCAGTTAAAAAGCACCCGCTATTGTCTCATCCCACATTGTTTCACCGTAGAATATTTTCTATATCAAATAACTTTCTCTTTTTGTGTAATTTTTAGAGGAAGTTAACCCCGCAGGATGCAAAAAAATCGTTTTTGCAACTATTGGGTTCACTTCCGTACAAGAAGGCAATCGCCTATAACGCTCTGTGTGATGAAGATCCGTTTGGAATCATGTCAGGGAGCGTTCGAATTGCTATCAACATTTCGGGGGTGAGTTGAGATACATATGTTATTGAATTTTGAAAGCATGCTATTGGTGGTTATATTCTTCCTTTTTCTTTTGAACGTCGTGTACTTCTTCCAACAACATCCATCCTCTCTCTTTCCCACATCTCTTCCTCCTTGCCCTTTCTCTGTCACCCTGTACTTCTCTCTCTCTTTCCTTAAGTTGCGCTGGTCCTTTTACCTCTGTCAAACATTATATGTTTATGTATCGTGTAGGCTATAGTGGGTTTAGTCATAGGGGGTACAACAAACTTAGGGTTTCCTACTTGTACCCAAACTTCTTGCTAGTTCATTCATTCTCGTGCAGTACTCTATTCTAACATGGTATCCGACGCCTAGGTTAGGACCTAGGACCCACGTTCGGTAGGGCCCACCGTTCCGCGCGCGCCGTCGAGCGCCTCGCTTCCTAGCGCCGTCGAGCGCCTCCTCTCCTAGCGCCGTCGTGCGCCCTTCCTCCTCGCGCCGTCGAGCGCCCCTCTTCCTAGCGTCGTAGTGCGCCCATAGGACAGCCGCACGAGCCGCCCGTCAGCCGCACACGCAGCCGCCTACTCCGCCGCACGCGCAGCCGCACGATAGGCCGCACGCGCAGCCGCACGTACGACAGCACGCGCAGCAGCTAGCGCAGCCGCGCGCGGCCACCTGCACCGCCGCACGCGCAGCTGCACGCTCGGCCGCACGCACGACCGCACGCACGGCCGCACGCACGACCGCACACACGGCCGCCCGCTAGGCCGCACGCACGGTCGCAACCGCAGCCGCACGCACAACCGCACGTGCAGCCGCACGCACAGCTGCAAGTGCAGCCGCCCGCGCAACTACACGCACGGCCGCCCACGCAACCGCACGCACAGCTCCGCGCTAGGGGGTGCGTGCAGTCACGCGCACAGCCGCAGGAGCAAGCCGCCGCGCCGCCCTGCCTGAGCCGCGCCGCACCGCCCTGCTCGAGCCGCGCCGCGCCGCCTTGCCCGAGCCGCGCCGCGCCGCCTTGCCCGAGCCGCGCCGCGCCGCCCTGCCCGAGCCGCGCTGTGCAGTCACACTGCTACTACTGTACCTACTATTCCTACTGTTCCTACTGTTCCTACTGCTCCTACTGAAACTATGGCTAGTCCTGCAGTTCTAGCTTTCGATGCTGAGGGCCGCCCGATCCGTTTTGACACCTGGCTCGATGACCTCCATCTCTTCCTCCAGCTCACTGCTAAGGAGGATATCTCATTGTATGACCATGCGTTAGGCCTTGCTCCTGCCCCTGCTGAGACAGCTGACAGTACTACCCGCTCCCAGTGGCAGACTCGTGACGCCCACTCTCGCTTCGCCATTCGCAACTCCCTGCCGGTAGATGAACGCGAGCACTTTAGCCAGCAGAAGACTGCTCAGTCGCTGTACAAAGCTATCGTTGCTCGCTACTCCTCGCCTGCCTCTGCTGCGCTAGGCCGCCTCTCACTGCCCTACCTGTTCCCAGACTTTGCCACATTCTCTACCATTGCCGACCTCATTACTCACCTCCGCACTACTGAGATCCGCTTCCGTGCTGCCATGCCCGCTGAGTTTCTTGCCAAGAACCCCCCCCCGCTGTGGCTCACTCTTTACCACCTGGTCACCCGTCTCCCTGACTCCCTTCGTGCGGTCAGGGACACATTCCTTGCCATGTGCCCCACCGAGCTCACCATTGACCTGCTTGAGAAGCATCTGCTGGCAGCCGAGTCTAGTACTGTAGCTGTCGGTGCGTCTCGAGGCGACCCCCGCACCCCTTTCTTCGAGGGGTGTTCCCCCTCCCCTCTTCTTCCCTCTGTTGCCTCTGCTGCTGCTGTCGACCTTCTCGGTGCTGAGAAGGTCGGGACTGCGTCTACTGCGAGTGCGAGGCGCCGCAGCGGCCGGGGCAAGGGGGGCAAGGGGGGCGGCGGTGATGATGGGGGCGGCGGTGGTTAGGGCGGTGGGGGCGGTGGGGGTGGTGGCGGGGCTGGAGGGGCCAGTGGCAGCGGCGGGAGTGGTGATGGCAGCGGCGGGGGTGGAGGCGGCAGCGGCGGGAGTGGTGGCGGCAGCGGCGGGGGTGGTGGCGGCAGTGGCGGAGGAGGTGGCCGGGGTTGGGGCAGTGGTGGTGGCGGCGGCGGCCGCGGTGGCAGTGGTGGTCGTGGGGGCGGCGGAGGCAGTGGAGCTCGTGGCAGCTCGGGCGGTGGCCTGCGCCAGCAGCAGACCCTGTCGCCCCAGGAACTCCGTGAGTGGTACTCTCAGCGTGGGGGGGGTGGCCTTAGCTGCCCGTACGTCATCCGCACAGGTGACCGCGCTGGTCAGCCATGTGGGAGGGCGCACACCCTGCAGCGCTGCTTCTCCCGCCTCGACGACGCCTGGCGCACCCAGTTTCCGGCTGCTACTGAGCTGCCCCGTTGGTTTGATCTGATCAAGAAAAACATTGATGTCTATGCTCTTGACTTTGATGCTATCCTTGGTGCCATGTATGTGTTGTCTACTAGTGGAGAGGGTGACTGTTACCTGTGTGTCCCGCCCGACCCGGGCATTAGGACCAGTGAGGCTGCTGCTCTAGGTGCTAGTGTGTCTGCTGCCCCAGGTGCTGGTGAGGCTGCTGCTCTAGGTGCTCGCGAGTCTGCGCCCGCTGCGTCTACTGAGGCACTACACACCTTCACACTGGACTCAGGTGCTTCTCGCTGTTTCTTTCGTGACCGCACTGCCCTTGAGCAGCTTGCTCGGCCAGTTGCTGTCTCCCTCGCTGACCCCTCTGGGGGTCCGGTCATTGCGACCTCCTCCACTGTCCTCCCTTGTCCTGCGGTCCCGTCGGGCTCACTGTCAGGTCTCTACCTCCCCTCGTTCTCCACGAACTTGGTGGCGGGTAGTGCGCTCCAGGACGGGGGTGTTCACCAGTTCACCCCTGACACACTGCACGTGCGCTCGGACGGGTCGCCACCTGGCTACCTTCACTCGACAGCCGGGGTCGGACTTGTACACACTGACCACTGAGTCCCCTCAGGTAGCTGCGTCTGCGTCTGCTTCAGGTCAGCTGTCTGCCCCCTGCTCGTGTCGCTCTCTAGCACACGAGACCGTCCTCTGGCACCACCGCCTTGGTCACCCGTCAGTGCAGCGCCTTCGTGGCATGCACAAACGGTACCTTGTCTCTGGTCTTCCCCGGGTACTCCCTCCCCTCCCGCCCTCTCCTGCTCCTCCCTGTCTTCCCTGTGTCGAGGGGCGGCAGCGCGCCGCTCCTCACTCCTCCTCGTTTCCCCCGACGACTGCTCCCTTGCAGACGCTCCACCTGGACGTGTGGGGCCCAGCCCGCGTCCGTGGACAGGGTCACGAGAGGTACTTCTTGATAGTTGTTGACGACTACTCGCGCTACACCACGGTCTTCCCCTTGCGCACCAAGGGTGAAGTCCCTGATGTTTTGATCCCTTGGATCCGCACTGCCCGTCTTCAGCTCAGCGAGAGGTTCCACTCGGACTTTCCTGTCCTGCGTCTGCACTCTGACAGAGGTGGGGAGTTTTCCTCCGACCTCTTGAGGGCCTACTGTCAGGGGCAGGGCATTGAGCAGTCGTTCACGCTTCCGGCCTCTCCACAGCAGAATGGGGTTGCTGAGCGCCGCATTGGCTTGGTCATGGAGGTCGCTCGTACCTCCTTGATCCATGCGGCTGCCCCCCACTTTCTGTGACCGTTTGCGGTCCGATACGCTGCGCATCAGCTCAACCTCTGGCCCCGTGTCTCCGTTCCGGAGACTTCGCCGACACTGCGTTGGACGGGAGAGGTTGGTGATGCGTCGCGTTTTCGGGTCTGGGGATCTCGAGCTTTTGTTCGCGACACGTCCGCGGACAAGCTCTCCTCCCGCGCTGTTCCTTGCGTCTTCCTTGGCTTTGTCCCGGACGCGTCTGGTTGGCAGTTTTACCACGCCACCTCGCGCTGTGTCCTGCCCTCTCAGGACGTCACTTTTGACGAGTCCGTCCCCTACTACCGCCTCTTCCCCTACCGCACTGCCCCGCTCCCTCCCCCGCCTCTCTTCCTCGCTCCAGGTGCTGCTGTAGTAGACCCCCTCCCCCCTCAGGGTGCCGCTCCCTCAGGTGTGTCCCAGGTAGACCCGGTTGAGCCTGTCGAGGTAGCTGTCGACTCTCGTCCTACTTGGGGTGCTGAGCCTGAGTGTGCGGAGCCTGAGTGTGCGGAGCCTGGGGGTGCTGAGCCTGGGGGTGCGGAGCCTGGGGGTGCGGAGTCTGGGGGTGCGGAGCCTGGGGGTGCGGAGCCTGGGAGTGCTGGACCTGAGAGTGCTACGTCTGAGGGTGCTGAGCCTGGGGGTGCTGCGACTGAGGGTGCTGAGCCTGGGGGTGCTCCTCCTGGGCGTTCGGCGCCTGGAGACCCTCCTTCTTCCCAGCAGCTGCGTGAGTGGTACTCGCGGTACTGCAGTCTCAGGAGAGGTGCTACTGCAGCTGGTGCTCGTGGTTCCCCGCCTCGGCGGGAGCTACCCTCTCCCCAGCGACTCCGAGAGTGGTACGCTCGGCGCTGCAGTCTCCGGAGTGGCGCTGCTGGTACTGGGGACCCTAGAGTTGGAGCTGCTGCTGGTGCTGCGGACCCTGGAGTTGGAGCTGCTGCTGGTGCTGAGGACCCTGGAGCTAGAGCTGCTGCTGGTACTGAGGACCCTGGAGTCGGAGCTGCTGCTGGTGCTGCGGACCCTGGAGTCGGCGCTACTGCTGGTGCTGAGGACCCGGGCGTTGGAGCTGCTGCTGGTGCTGCGGACCCTGGAGTTGGAGCTGCTGCTGGTGCTGAGGACCCTGGAGTTGGAGCTGCTGCTGGTGCTGAGGACCCTGGAGTTGGAGCTGCTACTGGTGCTGGCGCTGCTGGAGCTACTGGTGGTCCTGCGGGCGCTGTAGCTGGTGACCCTGGAGCTGAGGTTACTAGTGGTCTCTCTGCTGGTTCTGGCGGCGCTACGCGGTCGCAGCCGTACTTCGTTCCGCTCCTTCAGCAGGTTCTTGGTCAGTCGCCTCCTCCTTGTCCTGCTCCCTCTTTAGAGTGTCTTCCGCCAGTCCAGTCGCAGTCACAGTTGCCTCCTGCCTTACCACTCCCTGGTCCTTCTCCTTACACTGGTCCGACTGGAGGTCTTACAGAGCGTCGTGAGCCTGAGTCTCGTCCTGCGTCGCCCGAGTCTCGTCGTGCGTCGCCTGTTCGTGCTGCTCACACTGGTCGTCGTGTCCCTCGTCAGCGTCCTCCTGCTGTCCCAGGCACTCACCAGATGGCGCTTCATCCTTCCTCTGCTCCTCAGCGCGTCCCCCTGCCGTCTCCTCCTGCGTCGTCTCTTCCTGCTCTTGCTGACCCGGAGTCTGACTCCCTTCGTGCTGCCAGTCCAACTGTCATGCGTCTCCTCGCCACTGTTGTCACTGACCCTTCCTTTGAGTCCTCTGCTGCGTCTGCTCTAGTCGCTGAGTTAGTTGACTTTGCTGCCGCTTGTCGTCTAGACTACGCCGCTAGCCTTGTCGTTGAGTCTGAGTCTGAGTCCGTCTGTCCTCCGTCCGTCGGGGGTGAGTGTGCTCTTGGCACGGACGTCCTTGAGGACAGGCAGGAGGAGTTTGAGTGCTTTGCCGCTGCTTTACCTCATCTCGTGTCCATGCTGATTGCCCTTGAGGGAGACCCGGATGCTCCAGACATCCCGACCCCGCGCTCTTACGCTGAGGCGATCGCGGGTGAGTACTCCTCTCAGTGGCAGACAGCCATGGACACAGAGATGGCTTTCTGGAAGTCCACAGGCACCTACGTCGACGACGTTCCCCCACCTGGGGCGAACATTGTCAGTGGCATGTGGATTTTCAGGGTGAAGTGGCCGCCGGGTTCTCCGCCTGTCTTCAAGGCGCGTTACGTTGCACGAGGCTTCAGTCAGCGAGAGGGAGTTGACTTCTTCCAGACCTTCTCCCCGACCCCGAAGATGACCACTCTTCGGGTTCTGCTGCACGTCGCCGCTCAGCGTGACTACGAGCTCCACTCTCTTGACTTCAGCACTGCTTTCCTACAGGGCAGCCTGCACGAGGAGATCTGGCTGCGCCGCCCACCTGGCTTCACTGGGTCGTTCCCTCCTGGTACCCAGTGGAGCCTCCGGCGGCCAGTCTACGGTCTCCGCCAAGCGCCGCGTGAGTGGCACGACACACTGAGGACTACACTTGCGGCTCTTGGGTTCGCTCCTTCTACTGCTGACCCGTCGCTGTTTCTACGCACCGACACTTCGCTGCCGCCGTTTTACATCCTCGTGTACGTCGACGACTTGGTCTTTGCCACCGCTGACACTGCGGCACTCGCCCACGTGAAGTCGGAGCTGCAGAAGAGACACACGTGCACAGACCTGGGTGAACTGACAAGCTATCTTGGCTTGCGGATCACCCGGGACAGAGCACGGCGCACCATCACCTTGACTCAGTCACACATGGTGCAGCAGGTCCTTCAGCGCTTCCGCTTCACGTACTCCTCGCCTCAGGCCACTCCTCTGCCTACCGGTCACTCGCTCTCAGCTCTGCCTTCGGATGAGTCCGTAGAGCCGAGTGGCCCGTATCCAGAGCTTGTGGGCTGCCTCATGTACCTGATGACCTGCACTCGACCTGACCTTGCATACCCTCTTAGCATCCTTGCACGCTATGTCGCTCCTGGCCATCACCGGAAGGAGCACATGGATGCCGCTAAGAGGGTGTTGCGCTACTTGTGCAGTACGTCGGGCATGGGGCTAGCGCTTGGAGGACGAGACCGAGTTGTACTCACTGGGCACTCAGACGCTTCTTGGGCTGACGACCAGGCTACTCAGCGGTCGTCTCAGGGTTACACCTTCAGCCTTGGCTCTGGTTCAGTTTCTTGGCGTTCTACACGCTCGTCTTCTGTCCTCAGCTCCAGTTGTGAGGCTGAGATCTACGCCACAGCCATGGCTGCACAGGAGTTACGCTGGCTCACCTACCTGCTGACCGACTTGGGAGAGCGGCCTCGTTCTCCTCCAGTGCTGTACGTCGACAACAAGGCTGCCATTGCCTTGTGTGAGGAGCACAGACTGGAGCACAGAACGAAGCATATCGCTCTGCGCTACTTCCTTGCTTGAGAGCTGCAGCAGCGGGGTCAGCTTCGTCTGCGTTACGTGGCCACTCGGGCCAACACTGCTGATGTGTTCACCAAGGCGCTTCAGCCTTGTGACCATCAGCGCTTCTGTACTGTTCTGGGCCTTGTGCTTACTGGTCCTCACTTGCTTACTTCTTGACTCTGCTTGTACTGTGATCTCTATATATATACATGCATGCCTGCTCTTGCTAGGTTGTGATCACTGTACCTCTTGTTCTATTATCAAACTGCATGTGAACTGGTCTTGTGACCACTTGCTTGTGCTCGGAATTTGTGTGGTATCCTTGAGATCCACCCTGAGCTTGTTTTTGCTTTGCTTCCTTGACTGGTCTTGTGACCGTCTGGTTAACTCCCACTTAGCCTATGGGGGTGTGTCAAACATTGTATGTTTATGTATCGTGTAGGCTATAGTGGGTTTAGTCATAGGGGGTACAACAAACTTAGGGTTTCCTACTTGTACCCAAACTTCTTGCTAGTTCATTCATTCTCGTGCAGTACTCTATTCTAACAACCTCTGTACCATCTTCCCCTCCGCATCCCCCACACGTATGCATGCATCAGGTCCATTTTATACACGTGGATGACAACCAGTGCTGCCATTTTGTGCCGCATGGCGAAATCACGCAGTACTGCAACGTTGATGGAGCTCTCATCATTGAATTCATTCGCAGAAACCACACTTACATGTTCGCGTTTCACACGGAAGAGGCGAAAAATATATGTCGTGCTATTCAAATCCATTCGCTACAACAGGTACAATTAATTCGATTCTTCTAATGTAGGCCAAAGGCGGCAGAACGGGGTGAGGGGGGGGGTGGGGGATTATTTTTTCTCCTTTGGCTTCTTCCCACTTTTCCGCTTCCCCGCCTGCTCTTGTTCCCCTGGCTGAACTTCTTTCCCGTTTCTTTGCATGCTCTCTTGTCTCCCTGATTCCACTTCTTCCCTGCTTCAGTCGTTAAACTTCTTCCCACTCCACTTCTCCTCCCACTCCCTGGCCACTCTCAACTTTTCCCCTGCGTCCAACACCATTCGCACATCCAGCTGAAGGAGGTGCAGGAGGAGTTAAAAGCCGTGGGCAGGCGATCAGAGGAGCAGGCGCGGAATGCTGCCCTGGACAAGGAGGCCTTGGAGCAGCGCTCGTCAGCAGAGCAGGCTGAGCTGGTGGACAGGCTGGCGGCGCAGGCAGAGAAGCTAGTGAAGGTTTCCAAGGATCTGGAGGAGAGCCGGGCGGAAGAGGCCAAGCTGAGGGAGGAGATGAAGGAGAAGGCGGCGCAGGCAGAGAAGCTAGTGAAGGTTTCCAAGGATCTGGAGGAGAGCCGGGCGGAAGAGGCCAAGCTGAGGGAGGAGATGAAGGAGAAGGCGGCGCAGGCAGAGAATCTAGTGAAGGTTTCCAAGGATCTGGAGGAGGCGTACAAGGAGGAGGCTAAGCAGTGCAAAAAAGTACTACAACATGCTGGAGGGTGAGTGGGCTCGGTATTGGGCCATGGCTTGGGAGTGGCTTATGCGTGGCATCGGCGTGGCTTGGGCGTGGCTTGGGAGTGGCTTGGGCGTGGCTTGGTCGTGGCTTGGCCGTGGCTTGGGCATGGGTGGATGGCGGCTGCTGGGCAGGTGGCGGGGAGTGGTCTGTCTGAGTTGTATGGTAGCCTGAACCCCCTCCCTTCCTTCTTCCCTGCCCCCACTCTCTTCCCCGCACATCTAGACATGAAGAGGGAGATTTGTTGGGGGCTGCCGCTGGTGTATGCGTAATGGCAACCGCTCAGCAGCTGGTAACGACCTGTCGCGGCTGTAGGTTGCCTTGATGGCGTTTCCCGTCTCCCTCCCTGTCCCCACCCCTCTCCCTGCGCACATGCAGAATTGAAGGGCAAGGTTCGGGTGAATGCACGGTTACGGCCGCTGAGTAAGAGGGAGGAGCAGGCGGGCCAGCACTCGGTGCTGGAGAGGCTGGACGAGTACACGCTGCGGCACCCCGACACCAAGGGTGGGGAGCCCAAGCTGTACGAATTCAACCAAGTCTTTGACCACAACGCCACTCAACAGGCGATGTTTAAAGACACACAAGTAAGCAAGTTGTTGTGTGTCTTCCATAGGGATGATTCAGGTGGCAACATTTGTAGGTGGCACCATCTGTGGCAGGCATCACCACCTTGGCCACTCTCATGCACCACAATCAGCCAGTGCTCAACGTTCTCACTCTATGGGCCCTTGCCCCCTACCCCCCCCCTTCCCCGCTCCCCTCCCAACCGACTCCCGGCCCCCTTCCTCCCCTGCAGTACCTGATCCCGTCGGTCTTTGACGGGTACAACGTGTGCATCCTTGCGTACGGGCAGACCTTCACCATCCATGGCACGGATAAGGACCCCGGGTCATGCCGCGCGCCATGCAGGAGCTCTTAGACGTGATGAAGAAGGAGGAAGGGAGCAAGACCTACAAGCTGCAGGTGAGCTGCCTTGCTGCAGCTACAGTCAGTCGTATGCACCTGCCACTCCACCAGGCCACGCTGCCTGCGCGACCTGCTGCTGCTGCTGCTTAGTGTGACTGGCAGGGTTCCTCCGCTGCTGTCGCTCTCGTTCACTGTTACCCTCTTTCCGCGTACCCGCGCCCCATCCCATCCTTCCTCTTTGGCAGGTGCGCATGCTGGAGCTGTACCGGGACACGCTGGAGGACCTCCTGCTGCCCGAGAATACTCGCGACAAGCCGAAACTGAAGATCAGGGAATCTGCCAGAGTATGTACTAAGTAGGTAGCATCGCACGTGTGAGTGTGGCACCATGAGCAGTGGAATGCACAAGGATTCTATTCTCTAGTTCCTGCACACTTGTTGTCTCCCGCCAAGCCCCTTGGTCCAGCGCGCTCATATCCAGCCAGTCAATACCGCTGCACCACTCTCAACCGCTCAGTACCCTCTTGATGTGTTACTTGGTGTTATTTCTCCCCCCGTCCCCAGGGCATGGTGATGGTGGTGAAGGCGACTCTCATTGAGGTGCAGAACCCCTCGTAGCTGGAAGCAGCGGTGCAGGGGGGCATTGAGACGCGTGCAGTAGCCGTTCTGCACCGCATTAAACCGCTCGCCACTCTTAACCACTCTGTACTCTCTGCATGTTCCCATGTTCCCGCAGGGCGTGTTCTATGTGGAGAATGAGACATTGCTTGCAGTGAAGGACCTGCAACACCTGCAGACGGTGGTGCGGGAGGGGATGGAGAGGCGCATAGTGGCTCCCACACACATGAACGCGGAGAGTTCAAGGTCGCACCTGGTGATCTCCATCATTGTGGAGACCACCGACCTGCTCACCAATAGCGTGTGTTGCGGAAAGGTGTGTGCTGGGGGCGTGTGTGGCGTGGGTGTGTGAAGGCAACGCACATGACTGTGTACCTTTTCTTCTGTTGTAAATCGTAACTAGCTGACACACCCACCCCCAACTTCTTGCCACCTCAAGTCGCCCCTGTACCCCCTGTTGTGTCCCGCATCAAGATTTCCTGCCTTTTACCTCCTCCTCCCTCCCCAGCTGCACTTGACCATTGTGGACCTAGCAAGGTCAGAGGGAGTGCAGTCTTCAAGGCTACCTGCCCATCTTCCCTATGCTAAGCCCGTCTACTCCACCCCTTATCTCTACTATTTCCCACTCACCACCTCTTCCCCTTACCCCTCGCTCATTTCTTCCAGCTGTCCTTCGTGGGCATGGGGGGGTCGAAGAGGGTGAAGAAGCTTTGCCCATAAACCCATCAATGCTCTCCCTTCCCCCCACTCCCCGCTCCTCTCCCTGCAGCTGTCCTTTGTAGACCTCGCCGGATCAGAGAACCTGGATAAGTCGGGGTCAGTGGTCGTGCAGCAAAAGGAAGCCAGCGCGAACAACACATCGCTGTCCGCCTTGGTGGGCGTCTTCACTTCTCTGGCTCAGGGCAAAGGGCAAGGGTTCACGTACCGCGGCAACGATCTCACGGAGCTCCTAAGCGACTCGCTGGGAGGCAACGCCAAGACGCTAATGTTCGTCAATGTATCCCCGGCCAACGGAAACCTGGGCGAGACTGCCAGGTCGCTCGTGTGAGTCCTTGGAGGTTGGGGGTTTGATGTGAGGGGTCATGTCAGCCCTGTGTCACCCCCGGCCGAGCTAGTCCTGTCTCAGCCCTGTGTCCAGCCCTTGTGTCAGCCCTGTGTCCAGCCCTTGTGTCAGGCTTGCGTTATTTGAGTATCAATGGCTTTTCTCCATGGGTCTGAGTGCACCCATTTGCCCAGGGACCGTCCCTTGAGAGCAGACTCACCTGCAGGAGCTACAGCAGATGGGGGTGTGTTGTTGCTGGAGGAAGAGGGTTGCTGGAGGGAGAGGGTTGCTGGAGGAAGAGGGTTGCTAGGCCATTGGCAGAAGCAGGAAGAGGTTTGGGGGCAGAGGGATAGAGAGGTCCGGGGGCAAAGGGATAGGGAGGTTGGGGGACGGAGGGGTAGAGGTGTTGCAGGACAGAGGGATGGTGCAGTTGAGGGAGAGTAGTATGAAAGTTTAAAAGAAAAAGAAGGAGGACATGACTCAGCAAGAAGGGAAGAAGGCGGAGGAGCTGCAAGAGGAGAATGAAACGAGGACTGCGCTGAAGGGGGTTAAGAGGAGTGCGCCGACGGGGGCTGAGAGGAGTGGAGTTAAGAAGGTGCGGCCTGGTGGGAAGTAAGGGGGTGCAGGGTAGGTGCTTTTTGTTTAAGGTGCTTTGGAAAGGAACCTTACATCAACAACAATAAATGGTACTATCAGTTGTTAATCAAACAATGAGCACTGTGAATCTAAACAAGGTTGCATCCGAATTACCAGTAATCAGCCTTCATGCACCGCATCTAGAGGAACTTGTCTCACTCAGTCATTTATGCTACAGCCAGCCACCTTTCTGCGTGAGAGTATCAACTGCAGGAGAGCAGGCCAAGGAGGAGATTTCCGTAAGGGAAGAGAGAGGTGTGTGACGAGTTGAGCCGTTGCAGCACAGTGGAGCAAGATACTTCTGATCCTCTTCGCTTGCTCACAAAATGCAACTCAGGACGCCATGTGGAAGGTAGAATGCCCTCTCAGGTGAAGCCGCACCCAAAACTTCTTTTGAGGCGCGTCTCCTGCTAAACAGAGCACAGGATGCCATGTAGTATGCAAGTGATCTGCACAGGTAATTTCCACATGGGGGCACACACAGAGCGGGGGACACAGTTGGTTGAGCAACGAGTGGAGAACACCAAAGCATCACCCCCATGCCGCCTCCTCCGCATGCCCCCCATGCCCCTTGCTCTCCACATGCAACGCACTGCCCTTCCCCCTTTCCCTCCCGGACAGGGCATGGCATGGCAGGGCAGGGCATAACATGGCAGGGCAGGGCAGGGCATAACATGGCATGGCATGGCATGGCATGGCATGGCATGGCATGGCACGGCATAGCATGGCATGGCAGGGCATGGCATGGCATGGCAGGGTAGGGCATGGCATGGCATTGCATGGCATGGCATGGCATGGCATGGAGTGTGGCTTGAGTTGGGGGCAAAACATTTGGTTGACTTGCTTTGGTGTGGGGGAGGTGGAGCGAGTTGATGGAGTGGCAGTTTGAGAGAGGAAGGGAGACAAGGGTAGGGGATGGAATAAAAGGGGACAGGCCGGGAAAGAGTTGGGCAGAAGGGCGTGAGAGGGAAGAGGGAGCAAGGAGAGGGAGTTTGAGTGTAGTGGGTTGGGGACGAGGCGTGTGGGTTGGCTTGTTTTTATGTAGCACTGGAGGAGTAAGTGAATGGCGTGACAGACAGTTAAAAAGCAGAGCCAGTGATGGCCACACAAACCACCACCGCACTGGCACCACCGCACTGACATTCTTGCACCGCCTTGCACCCCAACGCAATGTAGCACACACACCCCCCTGTCCGTGCTGCTGCGTCTCAACACCTGCCCATCATGGTGCATGCACGTGCAGTGAGAGTGAGTGGGTTTGGGGGTGCAGGTGAGTAAGGTTTGGTGGGTTTGGTGGGTGCAGGTGAGTGAGTGAGTGGGTGAATGAGTTAGTAGGTGAGTGAGTGCGTGAGTGAACGAGCGTGTGAGAGAGTGGTGGAACCGCATGCTCTTTGGCCGAAGGCTGAAAGCGGCCTGTCCCTCCTCCACGCACGCCCGCGCCCTCTCCTCCACGCGCGCCCGCGCCCCCTCCTCGCGCGCCCGCGCCCCCTCCTCCACGCGCGCCCCCTCCTCCACGCGCGCCCGCGCCCCCTCCTCCACGCGCGCCCCCACTCCCACGCGCGCCCTCCTCCACGCGCGCCCCCACTCCCACGCGCCCCCCCGCCCCCTCCTCCACGGGCGCCCGCGCCCCCTCCTCCACGGGCGCCCCCGCCCCCTCCTCCACGGGCGCCCGCGCCCCCTCCTCCACGCGCGCCCCCGCCCCCTCCTCCACGCGCGCCCGCGCCCCCTCCTCCACGCGCGCCCCCGCCCCCTCCTCCACGCGCGCCCGCGCCCCCTCCTCCACGCGCGCCCCCGCCCCCTCCTCCACGCGCGCCCGCGCCCCCTCCTCCACGCGCGCCCCCGCCCCCTCCTCCACGCGCGCCCCCGCCCCCTCCTCCACGCGCGCCCCCGCCCCCTCCTCCACGCGCGCCCGCGCCCCCTCCTCCACGCGCGCCCGCGCCCCCTCCTCCACGCGCGCCCGCGCCCCCTCCTCCACGCGCGCCCCCGCCCCCTCCTCCACGCGCGCCCCCGCCCCCTCCTCCACGCGCGCCCGCGCCCCCTCCTCCACGCGCGCCCGCGCCCCCTCCTCCACGCGCGCCCGCGCCCCCTCCTCCACGCGCGCCCGCGCCCCCTCCTCCACGCGCGCCCGCGCCCCCTCCTCCACGCGCGCCCGCGCCCCCTCCTCCACGCGCGCCCGCGCCCCCTCCTCCACGCGCGCCCGCGCCCCCTCCTCCACGCGCGCCCGCGCCCCCCTCCTCCACGCGCGCCCGCGCCCCCTCCTCCACGCGCGCCCGCGCCCCCTCCTCCACGCGCGCCCGCGCCCCCTCCTCCACGCGCGCCCGCGCCCCCTCCTCCACGCGCGCCCCGCGCCCCCTCCTCCACGCGCGCCCCCGCCCCCTCCTCCACGCGCGCCCCCGCCCCCTCCTCCACGCGCGCCCCCGCCCCCTCCTCCACGCGCGCCCCCCGCCCCCTCCTCCACGCGCGCCCGCGCCCCCTCCTCCACGCGCGCCCGCGCCCCCTCCTCCACGCGCGCCCCCGCCCCCTCCTCCACGCGCGCCCCCGCCCCCTCCTCCACGCGCGCCCGCGCCCCCTCCTCCACGCGCGCCCCCCGCCCCCTCCTCCACGCGCGCCCCCGCCCCCTCCTCCACGCGCGCCCCCGCCCCCTCCTCCACGCGCGCCCGCGCCCCCTCCTCCACGCGCGCCCCCGCCCCCTCCTCCACGCGCGCCCCCGCCCCCTCCTCCACGCGCGCCCGCGCCCCCTCCTCCACGCGCGCCCCCGCCCCCTCCTCCACGCGCGCCCCCGCCCCCTCCTCCACGCGCGCCCCCGCCCCCTCCTCCACGCGCGCCCGCGCCCCCTCCTCCACGCGCGCCCCCGCCCCCTCCTCCACGCGCGCCCGCGCCCCCTCCTCCACGCGCGCCCCCGCCCCCTCCTCCACGCGCGCCCCCGCCCCCTCCTCCACGCGCGCCCGCGCCCCCTCCTCCACGCGCGCCCGCGCCCCCTCCTCCACGCGCGCCCCCGCCCCCTCCTCCACGCGCGCCCCCGCCCCCTCCTCCACGCGCGCCCCCGCCCCCTCCTCCACGCGCGCCCCCGCCCCCTCCTCCACGCGCGCCCCCGCCCCCTCCTCCACGCGCGCCCCGCGCCCCCCGCCCCCTCCTCCACGCGCGCCCCGCGCCCCCCGCCCCCTCCTCCACGCGCGCCCCGCGCCCCCCGCCCCCTCCTCCACGCGCGCCCCGCGCCCCCCGCCCCCTCCTCCACGCGCGCCCCGCGCCCCCCGCCCCCTCCTCCACGCGCGCCCCGCGCCCCCCGCCCCCTCCTCCACGCGCGCCCCGCGCCCCCCGCCCCCTCCTCCACGCGCGCCCCGCGCCCCCCGCCCCCTCCTCCACGCGCGCCCCGCGCCCCCCGCCCCCTCCTCCACGCGCGCCCCGCGCCCCCCGCCCCCTCCTCCACGCGCGCCCCGCGCCCCCCGCCCCCTCCTCCACGCGCGCCCCGCGCCCCCCGCCCCCTCCTCCACGCGCGCCCCGCGCCCCCCGCCCCCTCCTCCACGCGCGCCCCGCGCCCCCCGCCCCCTCCTCCACGCGCGCCCCGCGCCCCCCGCCCCCTCCTCCACGCGCGCCCCGCGCCCCCCGCCCCCTCCTCCACGCGCGCCCCGCGCCCCCCGCCCCCTCCTCCACGCGCGCCCCGCGCCCCCCGCCCCCTCCTCCACGCGCGCCCCGCGCCCCCCGCCCCCTCCTCCACGCGCGCCCCGCGCCCCCCGCCCCCTCCTCCACGCGCGCCCCCGCCCCTCCTCCATGACACAGGAGAGAACGGCATGTGACACAGGAGAGAACGGCATGTGACACAGGAGAGAACGGCATGTGATACAGGAGAGAACGGCATGTGACACAGGAGAGAACGGCATGTGACACAGGAGAGAACGGCATGTGACACAGGAGAGAACGGCATGTGACACAGGAGAGCACGGCATGTGACACAGGAGAGCACGGCATGTGACACAGGAAGGGGGAAGAGGGGGGCTGAGGGGTGAGGAAGGGGGTGAGAGGGAGGGCTTTGGAGGCGCCTCACAGACGTGGCAGCGAAGCACGATGGCAGAGAAACACGATGGCGGTTCCGCAGGGGGCAGGTGACGGGTAGAGCGGGGGAGCGGTGATGCAGGGGGGGGGGGGGGGGGGGGGGCTGCAGGGTGTGTGTGTCAGAATATGTTGTTTGTGTAGCCTGCAGTGGGGTACTCAATAGTGAGTACAGCCCCTTAGGGTTTGCTATTTGTATCCTGCTGCTTGCTAGTTCAATCACTCCTTCTCAATTCTGTTCCTGCACACAATCCTAGCTCGTACTTGGCACCTCCTTTCGTAGTACTACTGTGGCCTAGGCTACTAAGCCTAGGCCGTACTCCTACTATATCTGACATGGTATCAGAGGGCGGCATGTCTGCCGCCTTCCTGTGTATGGGCCCACCACCCGCTTCCGCTGCCGTACTGTCCGCCGCGCGCCCCGTGGTGCGCGGCGCCGAAATTAGGGTTTCTGCCCGCCGCGCGCTCGGGACGCGTGGCGGCTTACCCCTCCGTGGCGCCCGTCGTGGCGCCCGTCGTTTCTACTGCTACCGGGGGCCCGCGCGGCCTCACCTCCCGTCGCCCGTCGTGGCGACCACGGGGGGCGCGCGCGCGGTCCCCTCCCGTCGTCCGTCGTGGCGACCACGGGGGCCCGCGCGGCCTCCCCTCCCGTCGTCCGTCGTGGCGACCACGGGGGCCCGCGCGGCCTCCCCTCCCGTCGTCCGTCGTGGCGACCAAGGGGGCCCGCGCGCGGTCCCCTCTCGTCGCCCGTCGTGGCGACCACGGGGGCCGCGCGGCCTCCCCTTCCCGTCGCCCGTCGTGGCGCTCCGGGGGGGCCCGCGCGGCGCCCTTTTCGTCGCCCGTCGTGGCGACCACGGGGGCCGCGCGGCCTCCCCTTCCCGTCGCCCGTCGTGGCGCTCCGGGGGGGCCCGCGCGGCGCCCTTCCCGTCGCCCGTCGCGGCGGCTCTGGGGGCCCGCGCGGCGCCCTTCCCGTCGCCCGTCGCGGCGGCCCTGGGGGGGCCGCGCGGCTCCCTTTCTCGTCGGCCGTCGGGGCGCCCTGGGGGCCGCGTTCTTCCCCCCCCGTCCTCCTACCTCCACCTGCAGCGGCCGCCCCTGGAGCCGCCCCTGGAGCAGCCCGCACCTGCAGCAGCCGCCCCTGGAGCAGCCCGTGCCTGCAGCAGCCGCCCCTGGAGCAGCCCGCACCTGCAGCAGCCCGCGGCCCGTCCCTGCAGCCCCCCCCCCCCCCCCCCGTGCTGCCCATTGCTCCCAATCCGCCGTACGTTCCGCGGTGGTGGGGGTGTGGGGTGGCGAGCATGGGGGTGACCGGTGTGGGTAACCTGAAGCTCCTCCTCCTCCTCCGTCTCCCACTGCTGCAGCTGCCGCTGAGGGGGGTGGGTGTGTGGGAGCCGAGGGTTTAGGGTTTAAGGGGGGTGCCGTGGGAGTGGAGCTAGGGTTTCAGCAGGGGGTGTGTGAGAGGGGTGTGGGACGGTCGGGGGAGGTTGAGTGGAGGCTGCTGTCTTGTCGTCCGCAGCACCTGTAGTCCGGGGCGCACTGTCCTGGTAGCTCAGAGAGCCTGCTGCACCTGTTGCCCGTGGGTCCGTTGCTCCTGCCGCTCGTCGCAGCCGCAGAGCCTGTTACTCCTGTATTCCGGGACGCACTGTCTCGGTAGCCACTGAGAGCCTGCTGCACCAGTCGCCCGTGGGTCCGTTGCTTCTGCCGCTCGTCGTAGCCGCAGAGCCAGTTACTCCAGTATTCCGGGGCGCTCTGTCTCAGTAGCCACTGTGTCAGCCGCCACTGTGTCAGCCGCTTCTGTTGCCCGTGTGTCTGCAGCTTCAGTCGTCGCCTCCCATCTTCTCTTCTTTCATAGTCCCTCCTCCTCCTCACTTGCCCTCTGTGATAGCCTCTAGCTTTGCTGATAATTATGAACTATTGCTATGACTGCTCATTGTGCTGATTACACCCCACTTTGGCTATGGGGGTGTGTCAGAATATGTTGTGTGTGTAGCCTGCAGTGGGGTACTCAATAGTGAGTACAGCCCCTTAGGGTTTGCTATTTGTATCCTGCTGCTTGCTAGTTCAATCACTCCTTCTCAATTCTGTTCCTGCACACAATCCTAGCTCGTACTTGGCGCCTCCTTTCGTAGTACTACTGTGGCCTAGGCTACTAAGCCTAGGCCGTACTCCTACTATATCTGACAGTGTGGGGCGCAATGCAGGTGCGGGAGGGGAGAGAGGAGGACGACGCCCGAGAGGCAGGGCGCCCACCTTGGTGCGGATGGCGGCTTCCAAAACGGTGCAGTGCGGTTCTGGTTGGAAGGGCCCTGCACAGTGCAGCACCAGGACAGCTCCTGCGAACCGGAGGGAGGGGAGGGGGAGAGGGAGGAAAGGGGGGGAGAGGCGATGGAGAGAATAGGAGGTGATGCAGGTCGGCTGGGGGTTGAAAGTTCATGAAGTGGGAGAGGTACGGTGAAAAGGGGAAGGAAGGATGGAAAAGGGCGAGACAGCAGCAGCAGAGGCAGTGGCAGAGAATGGCAGAGAATGGTACGGAATGGCACGGAATGGCACGCAATGGCACGGAGTGGCACGGAATGGCACGGAGTGGCACGGAATGGCCCCCCCACCTTTCTCCCCCGCCACTCACTTCATCCGCCGCCACCATGCCCGCCCCAGCAAGCCTCCCCAGCAAGCCGCCCCAGCCCCCCTGCGCCCATACCTGCGCCCATACCTGCGCCCATACCTGCGCCCATACCTGCGCCCACACCATACGCAGTGGGCACCATTCTCCCACCCATCCCCACGCCTCCGCCCACGCCTCCGCCCATGGCCCCTCACATGCCCATCCCCATGGCAATCCCACCACTGCAGGGGCGGGTCCCATCGCTCCCCGCACTCCCATCGCTCCCCGCACTCCCATCGCTCCCCGCACTCCCTTTGCTCCCCGCACTCCCATTGCTCCCCGCAGCCCTCCCAGCGACCCCAGTGGACCCCCTCCCTGCGCTCCCTGCGCTCCCTGCGCTCGCAGCGACCCGAGTGATCGCCGCACTGGACTTCTGCCGCCGCAGCGAGCGCGCGCGCAGCAGCCCCACAGCCTTGTCGCGCGCACGCGGATCCACGCGCCCGGCGGCGTGCGCGGCGGCGAGCATGTGCGACTCCTCGGCGAGCCAGACGGATCGCAGGATGTCGTCCATGGGCATGGGTGCGACGGCGTGCGACGGGAACGTCGCCTGGAATTCGTCGAGCGTGAGCGGATGGATGGACGCCTGCCGCGCCAGCAGCTCCGGAAGCGCCATGGCGCGCGGGCGGAGGGGCGGAGGGCGGCGGGCGGAGAAGGGGGCGGAAAACTGCAGAGGCGGAGAGGAGGAGAGGCGGGAAGGCGAAAGGCGGAGAGGCGGAGGCGGGAAAGCGGACTGCCACAGGAGAGAGAACTATGTACAAATTGCGCGTCGATTTCAGAAGACCGCGACGAGCGTACGATCCGCGATGAAATGGTGGCGCGAGAGAGGAGTTGGTATGCACAAGGGTAAGGCGGCTAGAGTTACGCTGCACTATCAGCAGAACGGTTCGGCCTCTCACGCACCTATCACAGCCCGTCCTCAACGCCCTCCCATTCCCCTCCTCTCGTCGCATCGTTGCATCGTCGCGAGGGCGAGTAGCGCGGGGTGATCGCAGGAACGTGGCACGCGCACAAACACGCCAAAGGCACGAGCATGCTACGGCACGTCCTGAAGGAGAAAAAATATGTGAATTCAAGAGGGAGAGAATAAAAGGAGGTGTGGCAGACGGAGTTCCGAAGCGGACCACGGATTCTAATTTGGTTCAAGACGCGACAGTTATGCGCGTGAGGAGGGGCGACTCGGGTAGGAGGAGAAATAGTAGCGGAATGAGGAGCAAGCAGTTACGAACGAGTTCTGTTCTCTCTCTGCTTTGCTGTGGCGCGAGTGACTCGCCTCTACAACCCGATAAAGGCGACCTCGTATTAGGTACAGAGAGATATGAAACCTTTTCTCACTGTATTCTCAACTCATTAGAGTTTCCTCGTAATTGTTGCTGACGTAACTCACGGCTGATTGGTCGCTACTCGCAGACTGCCGCGCACGGCTGTATATCTCGCGCACGTGGCAGCTGCTCTGCGTCCGTTACAAACAGGGTTCCATTTCACAACTAGTAAATAGACTTAAGTACATTACGTATGTCTCTAGAGTCCATCTCCCGAACCTCCAGTTCCAAATCATTCCATTTCGGATCTCCATTATTCTTCCCCTTGGGTGGACGTCTAGTCTTCCCGTCCCCTTCCTCCAATCAGTTACGACTGTGGATGTTTACATTATGATGTATTGCATCCTTAACAAAGAATAAGTTAGTGTGTAAAAGTGATACCCAGGGCTGATTTTATCAGGGTAATTACCCTGATTTCAGGGTGATTTCAGATTTGTCACTTTCTGGTCCCTGAGAAATCAGGTTTTTCACATTTTGGTCCCTGATCCATTCAGAGTATTGCTTTAGTGGACCCTGAAATTTTGTGTACACTCTCAGTGTAGGGTTTTCACGGACCCTGTCAATACAGAGTACGCGGCCTATGGACCCTGAATGCGATGTTATCGGGACGAAGTTTCTCGGAAATTTCGTTCTGATAACCCCGCCTTCGGATTGATTACAGTACCCCCCACGTGCGTAATCCCCCCCCCCCCCCCCCCCATCCCTCGCTTTATCGGGACGAAGTTTCTACGAATTTTCGTTCCCATACATAATTGAGATCGGGCGAATTTGTAATGTCAGTTCCAGGTTGCTGTTATTGGTCGAAATAGTTGTGTCTGACACAGCGCCAGTCACATCGCGAGTCACAGCGCCAGTCACATCGCCACAGTGCCAGTCACATCGCCACAGTGCCAGTCACATCGCAAGTCACAGCGCGCCAATCACAGTCACCCTTGCGACACCAACAGCAGATTCGACCTTTGCTCTGTACGGAAATCTCTTTGCGCTAGGTCAAGACAGATTCTTCTTTCCCCGGTAAAGAAAGAGCGCGTTACTACGGCCCTGATTTTCGATTCTCGACCCTGAACATTCAGAGTTCACTACTTCTCAACCCTGAGCAATCAGGGTGCTGTTTCTCTGGAAAATGTGCCTTCAGGGTTTTTTTTTTTTTTTTTTTTTTTATGGTTGAACTCAGGGTACCTAAATTTGAAACGTCAGCCCTGGTGATACCTGAGCATAAATTGGTTATGAGATTGTTTGTGATAGCATTCATTGTTAAAATATGATACACTAACTAAGCATGTCTTAGTTTTAGTGATTGTAAGCGACAGAGAGGCCGCTGTTACGGAACGACTGCACAGTTTTGTGATCTGGCTGATTCGGGGACCTGTGATCATTCTTCAGATGCCTAGATCCGCCTACCTTCCTCCGTCACCATGCCGCCCGTCCGTGGCGCTGTAGGCTCGCCGACCTCACCGCCAGGAGTGCAGACAGCTTCGTGGACTCGACGAATTGCCAGAATGCCTTTTTGGGCGATCCTTGTTCTTGTCGTTGCTGCGGCTGGGTCGGACGCGACCAAGCCGAAGCCGATCAGCATTTCGCTGCGCGCCAAGTGGGAGGGAACACCACTCCTTCTAGAGGCAGGGTGAGTCGCCTTGGTGATGCCAGATCTTAGTTTTCGGAGCTTTCCGCCTACGCGCGACTTCAGCAGCGCACCGCGCTCGGTGGAGTGGCATTCAAGCATCGTTATTGCGAGATGCGAGACCCAAGGGGGGGTGCTTGGTGGAGCCCGCGCTACTGCAAGTCGTCTGCGGTCGCTCGCCAGGCTTACCTTATCCTTCTTGCGATGCCTAACTGCCCTGAGTCTTTCAAAAAACGGCTACGCTGCTTGCTTGGTGTATGCCGAATTTGCCAACTTCGGCTCGCTACATAGCCGTTGTCAATTTGGTCTTTTTTCCCGCCGTACCTAGCTGGAACAGTGCCGAAATCCCTACCTTTTTGTTGGGATTGCTGGCCCGTTGCTCGATTTCCCGAGTGATGAAACATAAGCTGTCCCGTCCCTTGCACATTCCATGTGGGATGCTGAATTGATGCCCGTATATTCCCTCCTCACCCTCTCCCTCTCTCCCCCTGTCCCCCTGCATCGACCCATGGGCAGCGAGTTCTTAGCGCGCGAGGACGCGGCTCTCTACTGGAAGTTCCTCGCCGCGTGGCCGCACGCGTCGCCCGATGCCAACTCCTCCGCGCGCTCCGCTTCCGCCGCGCCGTCCCCGTCCGACGGCGACTGCCTGAACGCGCTGCTGCGCGTCGCCTCGTCGTTCCTCGCGCCCCCCCTGGCGCCGCTGCTGCGCCTGGCGCTCGCCATGCGCTCGCTCTCGCCCGCGCTGCTCCTGCACCGCCAGCTCGCGCGCCTCTCGCTCTCTCAGGCGGGGCTGCTGGGCCCCCACGGCGCGCAGGGAGGGACTGCGGAAGGGGAGCAGGCGGGGTGGGGCGCAGGGGGGGGCGATGGGGGCGAGCGGTGGCGGGTGAGTGAGAACCCAGCGGCGCCCGAGGGACACTGCTGCTGGGTGGAGCTGCAGGGGAAGGTTCTGCTGGGGGAGGCGGAAGTGGCGGCGGCAGTGGCAGCAGTGCAGGCGGAGGGAAGGTGAGCATGCCTGCTGGACGGGACGAGAATGGCCTCTGTTCTGCGTGTGCGATCGTTGGCCCTTCACCTCGCTCTCCCTCCCTCACTCGCACATCGCTCCCCTTCACAATCCATTCGTGCATCCGTCCTTCCCATCCCAATCTGAGCACCCCTCGCTTGTATGCATTTACTACCATCAGCACTCACTCCGTGTCTCATCAGCATCCCCATCAGTCTGACCCCGCCTGCCTCATCTCCCTCAACTGCACCCCCCCTCTATCCTGCATCGCACTGCCCTCTCCCCATCCCGTGGTGCCAGCGCCCCATCGACCGCATCAGCAGCAGAGCAGGGGGCGGCGGTGCACGCATTCGACCACGTGTACCCCTCCGCCTCCACCGCCGCAGCCTCGCACCACGCGCCCCCGCCCGCCTTCCTCTATGCCAGCCCCGGCTCTGCCTGCTTCGCCGCCCTGCTGCCCCTCCTCTCCGCTGCTGCACACCAGGTAACGCTGCTGCACACCAGGTAACGCTGCTGCACACCAGGTAACGCTGCTGCACACCAGGTAACGCTGCTGCACACCAGGTAACGCTGCTGCACACCAGGTAACGCTGCTGCACACCAGGTAACGCTGCTGCACACCAGGTAACGCTGCTGCTTGTGCTTCTCGTGTTTTGCTCGTTCAGTCCTTCTAACATTGTCGTGTCTGTGCGCCCCTGTCTTGTGTCTCCCATTCCCTCCTGCTTTTCTTACCTTCTTCTCCCATCCCGTCCCCCTTCATTCATCACTCCCCCCCTCCGAATCTCACCCGTCTCGCTGGGCGGCAGGGCGCAATCCGCCTGGTGCTGCGGCCGGTGCTGCCAGGGGGCTGTGAGCAGCAGGTGGGGCGGTGTGCGGCGGTGGGGGCGGGCGGGCGGGTGAGTCTGGGCGGGTACGGAGTGGAGCTGGCGCTGAAGAACATGGAGTACAAGGCGCTCGATGACAGCAAACTCACCAAAGGTCCGCCCTGCGTCCGCTCCCCCTCCCCCTCCCCCTCCCCCTCCCATTGCTGCTTGGAGCACAGGCAGCTGGGTGATGCGGTATGTGGTGGCGCGGCATGGCCAGATAATTTGTTGCTTGCAGTGATTCCCACTCTGCTCTCTGTGAAACTGTCAATGGCCCTTGCTCCGTGGGGCGATCGCCTTGTGAATACCCACGAGGTCGCCTCTGCACCATGCATGTTCATGTGAGCTCAGCAGTGTGCATTGCTTTGGATGTGTGCGGCATGGATTGCCATGTGTGTGGCACACAGACGGGGCAGGGCAGGCAGCAGCAGAGGGGTCGGCTGATGACTTGGCGCAGCCAGTGAAGGGCTTTCTCTTCCACACCCTTGTGGTCAGTCCGTTCACGAGTTTTCTTCTCACGCAATTGCTTCTCATGCTTTTTCACAGTCATCTGTTCGGAGGGAGCAACTTGCCTTGCACATGTAAGTGGCGTTGCATCCCTCAGCTCATGCTGTCACTCAAATGCATTTGTTTTGTCACCTCTCCCGACTCCCTTGCACACGTGTTACCCGTTCACTGTGCGTTGCCCTTGTTCCTCCTTTTCCTGCTCCCTTCCCCGCTTCTCCTCCGCCAGCAACGGTACCCGGAGCAGACGGGCGAGCTGCTGACGTTTCGCGACCAGCTGCTGGCAGCAGAGGAGATCCGCGACGAGTACAACGTGTGGGAGCTCAAAGGTACAACGTGTGGGAGCTCAAAGGTACAACGTGTGGCAGAAAAGAAGTGTGCAGTGTAATTGTACAGGTTCTCCAAGGGACCAACCAAGTTTAGTTAGTAAGTTTGTGTAGACCAGCCCTACCAGAGAGGGGTAATAGCTAGCTTGCAAGGCGTTGGTTGGTGTGGCAGCCTCCGTATGTATGTGCTGTGCTGACACATGTATCCTCCCGCTCCCACTGCCCGCCAGACCTGGGCATTCAGGCCACTCAGCGCATAGTGGGGGGAGCAGAGCCGCTGCGGCTGATGCAGGATATCAACCAGAACTTCCCCAAAATCATGGCCTCGCTCGCCAAGACCAAGGCAAGCGCTGCTCGCTCACTAATTCCTTCCTTGTGCTGCTGGCAAAGCTGTCCCTTTGTAGTGTCTTGCATACATGGTGTGGTGTGTTCATGTATATGGTGCATACCTGGTATGGCATGTGGTGCGTGCATTTGGAACGAGCATTTGTCTGGTATGTCACTCCTTCCATGCCATACCCTGCTTGCGCGTGCCATTCCTTCTTTCCCCATCGCCCATGCCATTATATCTGCCCATTGCCTCCCTTAGTAGTACTACCACGTGGTTCACATCCCCTTGGCCCTAACCCGCCGCTTCCGCTCGCCCGTGTGTGTGCCCTCCTGCGATGAGTGAACGCGAGCAGGTGAACAGCGGGGTGGAGGAGGCGGTGCAGGAGATGCATGGCATGGTGCAGGCGGGGCGCACCATCGTGGCGCTCAACAGCATCGCATTCAACCTCGCCACCCTCGACATCTTCACGTACAGACCCGCGCTCCTCCCGCACACCACTCGCTACTACCTCGCACCACTCCTGCCTGCTTGCCCTCACTTATGGCTGTGCCAGTCGTGTGAGCGTCTCAATGCATGCAGCGGCTCTCCCTGTTCCTCTCCCTCCCACTCCCCTGTTTCTCCCTCCCGTGCACACCAGTCTGTTGGAAGCGGTGCAGGCCGAGCTGTCGCTTGGAGCACAGCTGCTCTCTCTCAAGGTGGGCCGCCCTTTTTCTCACTGCTTGCTGTGTCAGCTCTACGCAGCTGCACTGGCCATTCCTCGCTAGCCTCGCCCCTGCCTCTCCTCCACCATCTACGAGTCTTCTCCCCAGGTTTCTACTCTCGCCTACCATCACCTCCCCCCGCGCTCTCTCATCTCCCCTCCGTCTCTCTTGCCATCCCTATTTCCTCATGCCCTGTCTCCCCATCCACCCCCCTCGCCGCCCCCCACCAGTTGCCAGCGCCAGTGGTGCGGCAGCTGCTGCATCTGCCACCAGCATCGGCAGCGAGGGAGGAGGGGGGGGCGCCGAGGCTGGACTTCCGGTCGCCGTGGCACGTACAATTCTTCAATGACCTTGAGCGAGACCGCGAGTACCGCGGCTGGTCGCCCAACATGCATGAGGTGCGCTGGACGTGCTCTCACTGCATGCTGCTGCACACTGCATGCTGCTGCACACTGCATGCTGCTGCACACTGCATGCTGCTGCACACTGCATGCTGCTGCACACTGCATGCTGCTGCACACTGCATGCTGCTGCACACTGCATGCTGCTGCACACTGCATGCTGCTGCACACTGCATGCTGCTGCACACTGCATGCTGCTGCACACTGCATGCTGCTGCACTGCCCACTCCTGCTCATCACCTTGACAGCCCCTTATGTGTCCACCAGCTTCACCTTATCCTTATTAGTCCGTAGCATTGCTCAAACGTGTGCTATTCTGTGCTCTCAACTCAAGCATGCAACTCTTTTTCAACTCCACGTTGCTTTACACGTATGTGTGTGTTCATGTGCATGTGTGCGTGTGTGCATGTGTGCGTGTGTGCATGTGTGCGTGTGTGCATGTGGTGGCAGCTGCTGATGCCCATGTACCCAGGCCAGTTCCGTCCCATCCGCAAGAACATATTCCATGCAGTCTTCGTGCTCGACCCCATGCACCCTTCCACTCCAAAGGTGGGTACTGCCATGCCATGTACCCCCCTAGGTGCCTCCTTTCATGTCCCCCGTTCCTTTCCGCTTGCATTGTCCTGCCCTCTGCTCAGCTGGTTGATATCACCGTCTGTCCCCACCACTCTCCAACCTCCTCTCTACCCGTCGCTCCTTCCCCCTTTCTCCCCCTTTCTCCCCCTTTCTCCCCCTTTCTCCCCCTTTCTCCCCCTTTCTCCCCCTTTCTCCCCCTTTCTCCCCCCCACTCCCCCCCCCCCACAGGCAGTCGCGCACATCCACAAGCTGCATCGGGGCAGCATGCCGCTGCGCATGGGGGTCATCCTCGCCTCCTCCGCGCGCCTCCTCTCCCTCAACGACCCCTCCGCCCCTGCGCCCCACCATGACCTCTCCGAACTGGTGGGTGCCCCTGCTGCCCTCATCCCTTTCACACTCCTGGCTCTCCTATCTTCGCCCCTCCCCTCTCCATCGCCCCCTCTCCGTCTCCCCCTCTCCCGCAGCTTCTGCTGCTCAGCCCCTCAGCCCCTCTGTCTCTTACACCTCTCTTCCTCCTTGCCCACCTGTTTGCTTATGTCAGGCTGCTTGGTCCCACTGGTTGCCGTCCACATCCTTCCTACTGCTTGTGATGCATTCCCCATCCCACCCATCGCATGCCCCATTCCACCCCATGCGGCATGCATGCACGCCGTGCAGGCCATGGCGTTCTTCCAGCACATCAAGGACTCTGTCGGCGTCCGCCCCGCCTTCGACTTCCTCCTCCAGGTCAGTTCGGACGCCCTTCCCCGCATTTGCACGCTTCCTTTGCACCACTTTTCCCTTGCCCGCCCCTCCCGTTCCCTCCTTCGCACACTTGCTCCTGCATCCCTCCTTCGTTTCTGTCCGGCACTGGCCCTCACGTCCTTGCTTGCCTGCACTGTCTTCTCTCGCCTCTTCCCCCTCGCCCGCGCATCGCCCTCCCCCCCCCTGGACGCCTTTCCATCAGATGTGGGGAGGCAGTGCAGCGGACGAGTCGGTGGACGACTACGAGGACGCCATGGTCACGCTGCCACTCCCGCAGTACACAGCGCCCGACCAGCCCACCATGGAGGCCGCCTTCCTCCACACGCTCAGGTGGGCGTGGGAGGGAGGGAGCAGTGTGGTGTGGTGTGGTGTGGTGTGGTGTGGTGTGGTCTGGTGTACTGAATTTTCTTGCATGGGGAACGCAGTGCATGGGCCATGTGGAGCGGTGCGCCCTCATCCGCATCACTCACATCGCTCCATCGCTCTCCTCCAACCCTTTTAGCTCATGGCCCTCCACTCGTCCACTTCTCGTCTGCTCCCCACACTCTCCCTCTCTGCGCCCACCAGTGAGGCAGCAGCAGCGTCGCCGGGGGGATCGCTGGACAGCGACGACGCCCGGAGGGCTGCGCTGGCATCAGTGCTGGCAGCAAGGCAGCGGGTGGAGGGGGGACAGGTGGAGAGTGAGGAGGGCGGAGGGGAGCAGGGGGGAGCAGGAGGGGGAGGGGCGGCAGCAGCGGTGTGGGCGCAGGTGGTGGGCAGCTCTCGCTTTGTGTCGGGGCTGGGCCTTGCGGATGCCATGCCATGCCTGCTCTTCAACGGCGTCTTCTACCCCTCGCCCAAGGTCGGCCACCTGCCCCTGCTGCTGTCATGGTTGCTGTTCTGCATCTATCCCCGTCCTGATGTGCCCTCTTTGAGCAACTTTCGCTGACAAGTCCCGCCAACCCTTGCTCTTTCTCTTGCTCGCCCTCCCCCACCCTCGCCACCGCACTGCACGGCACGGCTATGGCAGGTGCCAGGGGGCACACTGGAGGCGATGCAGGAGGAGATGGAGGCGGTGCAGCGGGCGGTGTACTACCAGCAGATCAGAGGCTCCTCCGACGTCCTCGCCTTCTTCCTCTCCTCCGCTGCCAAGCGCTTCAACCCCGAGGCCTGTGCCACCTTTTCCTTTCCCTCACCCTCTCATGCACCCCACCTCTCTGCCCTCTCTGCCTGGCATGTTCTGCCCGCCATCCTCTGCATTTAGAGCCATGCCAGCCCATCGCATGTGCAGGCCTCCTGTTTCCCCCTCCTGTACCCTTTTTTTCTTATTCTTTTGCTCTCTTCCCCCCCCCCCCCCCCCCCGCGTCCACAGGTGGCCCTACCAGCGGGCAAGACTGCGCCCTACGTGTCCCTGGCGCCTCCCATGGCTGCTGACAACCCTGCCCTCGCGCGCCTCTCCTTCCTGCACTCGCCCGGCAGTGCGTTCAACCCTCCTCGCTGCTGGCACTGAAGCCTTGACATTGCCCTTCCTGCGCCTTTGACTTGCCCTGCCTCACTTCATGCGCCATCGTTTCGCACCTGCCCGTCATTGCCCCCACTTCCTGTCTGTATCGCCACATGTGTGTCTGCACGTTCCTTTGTGGCGTGTGCCCTGCTGTTGTGTGTGTGCCTCATGGTGAGCAGCGGAGGACGAGGTGAAGCCCTTCTCTCATCTGCTCGCGCTGGACCTCTCATCGCACCAAGGGGTAGACCTACTGCTGCAAGCCGTGCTGCACCTGGTAATACCGCACTGCACCAGGAATGATGTACAGCATGCCATAGTGTGTGTGAGCAGTCGTCTACCACTCCTGGCTGTGCTCATGCCGTGCACCCGCAATCATGCCTACCATCCGTCCATCTTCCCGCTACTGCCCACCCACCCTTCCCCGTGCAATCACGGCAGGAGAGCGGGGAGGGCACGCATGCCCGAGTGGCCGTTCTGCACAACCCCCTGCACGCCCCCGCCAACGCTCATGCCCGCCTGCCACCTCTCACATGGCGCCACCTCGTGCCGCGCCTCATCATGGCAGCCGTGCAGATGCCCAGGTCAGGTCACACGCCTGCTGCTCCCTGCTTTGCTTCTATATAGCAACCAGTGCATGTTGACACACTGCTGCCGCTCGCCTCATGTCTTGGCTCACATGCATTCACGTCCTTGCTGTTATTCGCCTCCCTCTAACCCCACCCTTCCTCCCCCCTATTCCACCGACTGCCCATTTCACCTCCTGTTCTCCCTCCTCCGTGCCCCTCCCCCCCAACATGCCCCATGCCTACCAGTCGTCGCAGCAAGCTGCCAGCCTTCCTGCGCAGCCTGCTGCAGCTGCCGCTGCTCAGGGCCGTGGTCTCGCGGACACACTCAGGTGGCGAGGGGGACGGGTGGGCCAGCAAGGGGGAGGTGAACAGCGAGCAGGAGGGGCAGGAGCTGCTGGCGTCAGCATGGAGCGTTGCTGACGAGGCAGGGCTGTACAGGGCCGAGTTGGAGCGTGCTGTGACGGGCGCTGGCGCTGCAGAGGCTGCTGCTGCGCACATGGCCCAGGTGAGGCCCTGCTGGGGGGCACACAGGTGGAGGTTCCTACTTCTCTATGAGCCGTGAACCTTCAGCAACCGCACCCCTGCTCCATTCACCGTTTTCATGAGCCTTACGTTGAGGTTTACCCTTTCCTCTTTCCTGTCCCACCCTCTCTGCTTGGCAGGATCGTCTGTTTGTGAAGCAGCATTGTGGCGCCAGCCCCGGCAGCAGCGTCATCATCACGAACGGCAGGGTAAGTGCATCCCCCTCCCTCTTGTACATCCTCCCTTGCCCCTTGTCTCGCGTTCATGCACACCTCACTCACTCTCACACCATGCATGTCCCATTCCAAACACCTTGCATGCCCCCACCACTCTGCATGTCGCCACCTTCCTCCATGAAGCACCTGCCCTCTCGCTCTCTCCCTCCCTCCCTATCTGCCTCCCTCCCCTCCCCCCACCAGCTGTTGGCACCGCAGCACCGCTTTGTGGCGGCGGACTTTGCGCTGCTGGAGGAGGTGGAGTCAAAGCGGGTCAAGCCAGCACTCTCCGTGCTGCAGGACCTGCCCTCCTGGCCGCACCTCCCGCCCGACCTCCCTCTCAGGTGCGAGCGGGACTGGCGCAGGCACGGTAGGGCGTGTGAGGGCAAGTTGCATGTTCATTCTTGCAGATTTCTTTGACATCCTTTGGTATGCAGTGTGCATTGCATGGCACTGGCTGCTAATATTCCACGAGTGGTCGTCTTCACATGCATGCTTGTATGGACTTCGGATGGCCATTTGGTGCTGAACATACATGTTACCTACACTTAGCCTTACGTCCCGCTATCCATATGATGCACCTCCCACCCACCCACCCACCCACCGACCCACCCCGTCCCTCATGCAGTGACCACGTGTCGGGCATGGCGATGGTGGTGGCATCAGCGCTGTCATCAGCAGAGAGGGCCAGCGGTGACTACGTGCAGTTCGCCCGCCTCACTGCCAGCCCCAGGTGCAGTTCGCCCGCCTCACTGCCAGCCCCAGGTGCAGTTCGCCCGCCTCACTGCCAGCCCCAGGTGCTCCGTGCAGTGCTCGTGCCATCCTGCCATCCGCCAGCAGCAGCATAGTTATACCCTCCACACTGGATAAGCACTTGGTTCCTCACTGCTTGCACCTCTTGCCCGCTTCCAACTCACTCGTCACACCCTCTCTTTCCCGTCTTTCCCCCTGCCAACCCAAAGTACTCTCGTCTTACACATAAGCCTCTAAGCCTCTTTCTCTCCTTCCGTACCTCGCTCCTCCCGCCCCTTTCCCGTGTTTCCTTGCCAGCATCGGCATCATCCACAGCAACGACTCGGCACTGCTGCACATCGATGGGGTGATAGACCCGCTCAGTGCGGAGGCACAGCAGGTCACGCCGCTGCTGCTGCTGCTGCACGAGTGGTTCAACCCCTCCCTGCGCATCTTCATGAACCCCCTCGTGCGTGCCCCACCTGCTTGCCCTCTGCTCCACCTGCTTCTCTCTTCTTCCTGCCTTGTGCTGTGCTGCATGCCATGCATTTTCTCTGATGCCATGTACACAATGTGTTTTGCCATGTGCTTCATTGGTGTTCAAAGTCGGAACTTCTTTGTGCGTCTACCACTCCAGATCAGTTTTGTTACCCCCATCCCCTCTCCGACCCTCTTCACACTCCGTGCATGACCGCCAGACGTCCATCTCCGAGTTCCCTCTCAAGAACTTCTACCGATACGCCGCTCCCCACAAGGCACGCTCCCTCGCCCCTTCTTCTTCTGCCCTCGGCCCCGTTCCATTTCTTGAAGTGCCATCATCTGCTCGTGTGCTCTCGGTCTGCCACCTCTCTTGTACCATCTCATACCCCAACTTACCCACACTTCACTCGCCTCCCTCCTTAGTAACAATGCTTCCACCTCTTATCCCCTGCCATTTCCAGCCCTTTTCATCAATCTCTCTTCGACTCCCTCTTTCCCCACCATCCCACATCCATCCCAACCGCTCCCCTTCCTCAACCCCCACCAGGAGCTGGCAGATGCATCGGGGGTGCTGGCAGCGGGGGCGGAGGTGGAGTTTCTGAACATGCCTCTCACGCGCACGCTCACTCTCAACCTCAAAGTGCCCGAGCCCTGGCTCGTCGAGCCGGCTGTAGCGGAGTGAGTGGGGCCGGCTGTGGCGGAGTGAGTGGGGCCGGCTGTGGCGGAGTGAGTGGGGCCGGCGGCTGTAGCGGAGTGAGTGGGGCCAGCTGTAGCGGAGCGGGCGAGGGTAGAATGCTCCTTCGTGGGAAGTGACTGAGGATAGAAATCAGTACAATTCCGTGCGTTTTGTGCTTACCCAGTTCACTCGTCCAACCCAATCACCATCGCCTTCACAATCCACCCTCTCAACCCTGGCCCCACATCCGCCCGGGCAGCCACGATTTGGACAATCTGGTGTTGGAGAAGGTGGCGGACCCCAGCGTGGCTGCTGTCTTTGAGCTCGAGGCGCTCATGATCACCGGTGGGTGCCCATGGCTGCACATGGGTACTGCTGGGTGCTGATGGGGTGATAGTGGGTGGGATGTGCGGACAGACTTTCTGCACACTTGTGTACCATTTTGGCCTTGTCTTTCTTCTCTCTTCCACGTCTCTCCGCTTCCTTGTTGTTGGAATGCCCCCACTACTCTCTGCATATACCTGTTTGCCCCCACAACACTCGCTCCCTCCCTCCACCACTCCAACCCCCCCTGTACCACCACCCACCAGGGCACTGCTACGAGGACTCGGACATGCAGGAGCCGCCGCGGGGCATGCAGCTTGTGCTCGGCACGCCCCCGCCCGTCCCCTCCGCGCTCCTCAACCACTCCTCCGCCCCCGCCACCGCCGCCGCCACCACCACCGCCACCAGCAGCAGCGGGGCAGGGGGGCGGCCGCAGGGCCTGGTGGTGTCAACGGCCCTGGAGGACACGATAGTGATGGCGAACCTGGGCTACTTCCAGCTCAAGGCCGCGCCCGGCCTCTGGCTCCTGCAGCTCGCCCCCGGCCGCTCCCAGACCCTCTACCAGCTCTCCGGGGAGGGGGGGGCGCTGGGGGGCGGTGGTGGTGGTGCTGCCGAGGCAGGGGAGGAGGGTGGGGATGAGGGGGATGCGGGGATGGGGGCGGTGGGGCGGGTGGCAATGGAGGTGGCGGTGATGGACCTGCGGGGGAAGGTGGTGCAGCTGAGAGTGGTGAAGCGGGCGGGCATGGAGGGCGAGAAGATGCTGGATGGCGCCGGGGGGGAGGATGGGGACGACGAGCAGCAGGAGGAGCCAGCAGCGGCGGTGAGGCCTCTCTGCCCTGCTCTCAGCTGCTCGCCCCTGTGTTGAACACCCTTCGTGTCTAACTTGCAACCTCTCCTCGCTGCGCTGCTCACTGCCTCACTGTGTGTGTCTCTCCCCTGCCTCCCACGTGCCGTCCGCCATCCCCCCATCCCTCGCAGGCATCTCTCTTCGGGTCCTTCTTCCAGAAGCTCACGGGCAAGGTGGGGTGGACACCAGAGTGGGGAAAGAGAGGGCAAAGGCAGGGCGAAGGGAGGGTAGAGTGGAGAGTGGACTGTAGGTGCCAAAAGGGGCAGGCAGCAACCACAGTGGGCATGGGGAGGGTTGGGCCGTGGCTGTTGTGAAGCAGCGCCGTGGAGTCGTGCTATGTTGCATGCCACCACTCCTGCATCCTCCCTTCACCCTTATCCGTGCACCCTTGCCTCTCCCTGCCGCACTGCCCCTCCCCCCACCGCTCATGCACCTGTGTGGGTCAGAAGCCAGCAGTGGCCAGCAAGGGCGAGGGGGCGGGCGCCAACAGCACAATCAACATCTTCTCCATCGCCAGCGGCCACCTGTGCGTCGCCCCTCGCCCCTCATGCCAACTGCCCATCGTAGCATTGCCTTCCAGTGTCCACTGTTCTCTGTCCCGTTCCTTGTACTCTTGGTGCTGCATCATCCTGAGGTGCATACCACATCCTTCTCATTCCACCATTCGCACTTCTCAAAACCTCCCACCCCTTCCCACCCTGTGGCGTGCATGCATGGGCAGGTACGAGCGGTTCACGCGCATCATGATTCTCTCCGTGCTCAAGAACACACGCCGCCCGGTCAAGTTCTGGTTCATCAAGAACTACCTCTCGCCCTCCTTCAAGGTGAACCAAGCCTACCCTTCTTGTGGACTCCTCCCTGTTGTCGAAGCCACTTCCCTCCTGCCTTTGCAATGCAGGCCACTCTTACCACACATTTGCTCACTCATGCAGCCGTGCCTGCCCTCCTGTGTCCATGCCTCCATGCTTTCGTGCTCACACCTATGTCCCCTCTCCACCACCCTCTCCCCCCTGGCTCTCCTTCCTTCGCCCCTCTACAGGAGGTGATCCCGCACATGGCGCGCGAGTACGGGTTTGAGTACGGGCTGATCACGTACAAGTGGCCGTCGTGGCTGCACAAGCAGACGGAGAAGCAGCGCCTCATCTGGGCCTACAAGATCCTCTTCCTCGACGTCATCTTCCCCCTCTCCCTCCAAAAGGTGCCGCTGCTCTGCTCCACTCCACTCCAATGCCACCTGCCACCTGCCACCTCCGCTGCCATCCCCCTCTGCTGCACTCCTCTTCACCTTCGCAGACAGTGTTCCTCGCACCGATGTGGAACATCATTGTGCTGTGTTGCTCACATGTCTCCGGAGGAAACTTATTCTCCATTCGCGGTTCTTCTGTCCCTGCTTGCTTGCACCGATCCATGCCGTTCAAGTACACGCATCCACATGCCGTGGCTCTGCTGCGTGCCATGCTTCTGCTCGTCTGCAAATCAAGCTCTCCATTCTCCCATTTCCCCCCCTTTACCTCCTCCCACCAGGTGATATTCGTGGACGCGGATCAGGTGGTGAGGGAGGACATGGGGCGGCTGTACGACATGCCACTGCACGGCCACCCCCTCGCGTACACGCCCATGTGCGACAACAACCGCGACATGGAGGGCTACCGCTTCTGGAAGCAGGTGAGTGGGCAGTGGAAAGCTGAATGCGCTGAAAAGAACAATCGTTTTTTTAACATATACTTTACTCACTATCTTTCGTTTCTGAACTCCCTTGTTGCATGAGTGCAGGGCTTCTGGAGGGACCACTTGAGAGGAAAGCCGTACCACATTAGGTGAGACTGTGAGGGAGCTCTGTCGCACTCCTGTTAGCCCTACACTGCCCTCTCCCCTCCCACCTTTTTCTCTGCCGTCTTTGCCCGCTCGCCCTCTCTCTTTTACCCCACCCTCAACTTCCCCTCCTTTTCACCCCACCGCCCACCCCCCACGCACCTACCCTCCACCCACGTGCGTGCGCCTTTCAGCGCCCTGTACGTGGTGGATCCCCCATCGGGTTCCCCCATCAGGTTCCCCCATCAGGTTCCCCCATCAGGTTCCCCCATCGGGTTCCCCCATCAGGTTCCCCATCAGGTTCCCCATCAGGTTTCCCCATCAGGTTTCCCCATCAGGTTCCCCCATCGGGCTCCCCCATCAGGTTCCCCCATCAGGTTCCCCCATCAGGTTCCCCCATCAGGCTCCCCCATCAGGTTCCCCCATCAGGTTCCCCCATCAGGTTCCCCCATCAGGTTCCCCCATCAGGTTCCCCCATCAGGTTCCCCCATCAGGTTCCCCCATCGGGCTCCCCCATCAGGTTCCCCCATCAGGTTCCCCCATCAGGTTCCCCCATCAGGCTCCCCCATCAGGTTCCCCCATCAGGTTCCCCCATCAGATTCCCCCATCAGGTTCCCCCATCAGGTTCCCCCATCAGGTTCCCCCATCAGGTTCCCCCATCAGGTTCCCCCATCAGGTTCCCCCATCAGGTTCCCCCATCAGGTTCCCCCATCAGGTTCCCCATCAGGTTCCCCATCAGGTTTCCCCATCAGGTTTCCCCATCAGGTTCCCCCATCGGGCTCCCCCATCAGGTTCCCCCATCAGGTTCCCCCATCAGGTTCCCCCATCAGGCTCCCCCATCAGGTTCCCCCATCAGGTTCCCCCATCAGGTTCCCCCATCAGGTTCCCCCATCAGGTTCCCCCATCAGGTTCCCCCATCAGGTTCCCCAATCAGGTTCCCCCATCAGGTTCCCCCATCAGGTTCCCCCATCAGGTTCCCCCATCAGGTTCCCCCATCAGGTTCCCCCATCAGGTTCCCCCATCAGGTTCCCCCATCAGGTTCCCCCATCAGGTTCCCCATCAGGTTCCTCATCAGGTTTCCCCATCAGGTTTCCCCATCCACCCCCATGCTGTGGCAGCGCCCTGTACGTGGTGGATCTGGTGCGCTTCCTCTCTTCACCCCACCAATCAACTCCCCACCACCCCGCCCCACCCCCCACCTAACCCCCCATCCACATGCACACGTGCATCTGGCAGTGCGCTGTACGTGGTGGATCTGGTGCGCTTCCGGCGCATGGCAGCGGGGGACACGCTGAGAGTGATCTACGAGAGCCTCAGCAAGGACCCCAACTCCCTCGCCAACCTCGACCAGGTAATGCCTCCCCCTCCTCTCCTCTCGCCTGCACCAGATGCAAACTCCCCTACCTCTCACCTGCACCAACCATGTACCGCCTCCCGTATTCCCCTTCCTCCCGTAACTCCTCTGTTTACTCACCCTCTTTCCTCCCTTCAACTGCTCCCCCCCATCTCCCCCCTCCCCACGTCTCCCCCTCCCGCACCCTTCCCATCTTCCCCCTCCCCCTGTATCAGGACCTGCCCAACTACGCGCAGCACACGGTGCCCATCCTGTCGCTGCCACAGGAGTGGCTGTGGTGTGAGTCGTGGTGTGGCAACGCCACCAAAGCCCGCGCCAAGACCATTGACCTCTGCAACAACCCCATGACCAAGGAGCCCAAGCTGCAGGTCAGTGCAACAACCCCATGACCAAGGAGCCCAAGCTGCAGGTCAGTGCAACAACCCCATGACCAAGGAGCCCAAGCTGCAGGTCAGTGCAACAACCCCATGACCAAGGAGCCCAAGCTGCAGGTCAGTGCAACAACCCCATGACCAAGGAGCCCAAGCTGCAGGTCAGTGCAACAACCCCATGACCAAGGAGCCCAAGCTGCAGGTCAGTGCAACAACCCCATGACCAAGGAGCCCAAGCTGCAGGTCAGTGCAACAACCCCATGACCAAGGAGCCCAAGCTGCAGGTCAGTGCAACAACCCCATGACCAAGGAGCCCAAGCTGCAGGTCAGTGCAACAACCCCATGACCAAGGAGCCCAAGCTGCAGGTCAGTGCAACAACCCCATGACCAAGGAGCCCAAGCTGCAGGTCAGTGCAACAACCCCATGACCAAGGAGCCCAAGCTGCAGGTCAGTGCAACAACCCCATGACCAAGGAACCCAAGCTGCAGGTCAGTGCAACAACCCCATGACCAAGGAACCCAAGCTGCAGGTCAGTGCCCTCTCCTCTCCATTCTCCCCCTTCTGACTCTCCCTTTATCTTGAACTTGAATTCACTCTTGCCTTTGCGTTCTCCCATGTCTGTGCCGGTGTGTGCGTGCGTGTGTGCGTGTGTGCATGGCAGGGGGCGCGGCGCATAGTGGCGGAGTGGGGGGCGCTGGACGAGGAGCAGCGGCGCTTCACAGAAAGAGTCACCCGAGGGGAGTTTGACGACCTCCCACCCTCCGCTCCACGTGGCACACTGCGATTCGCCGGCTTCCACTCAGCCCCTCGACCAGAGGAGGGGCCTGTGAGGGAGGCTATGACAGAGGAGGAGGAGGGGGGAGTGGATGATATGGATGGAGTGAGTGAGGGAGGACACGAGAGAGAGGAGGGAGAGGAGGGTGGAGAGGAGGGAGGGGAGGGAGGGGAGGAGGCGGGGGAGTGGGCGGGGTATGAGGTGGACACGGCGTATGAGGACTTGGAGGGGTTGGAGGAGATTGCAGTGGAGGCTGTTGATGGCGTGGAGGAGGGCGAGGAGGGTGGGGAGGAGGACGACGAGGAGGAGCTAGGGCATGAGGAGTTGTGAGAGCAAGAACAGGACAATCTGTGCAAGAGCAGGGCAATATGTGCGACAAGACAGCGCTGGCTGGCTAACTGCAGCTGTCAGAACATTGCCTTGCCATCTGATTCTTAATCAGTAACACTGTTAATCGTCCCCTCGCTGTCCGATACACAATTGCCTTTGCTTTGATTCGGAAAACAACAGAATTGTTCCAATCGCTAAGCAACTAACAGATGTTTTCTGTGCACACCTCATAAGAACTAACACAACCTTTCCAGTGTCTCATCAGAACTGTACAGGAGAACACTAGTGGCTCTCTTTTCTAGTTGCCACCCTCTTGCACTGCCTCCCCTCCCTGACCTCCCTGTTCTCCCTGCATCCCCACCGCCTGCCCCGCCTCCTGCACCCCAGCAGCCTCCCCCATCGCCGGAGGAGCCGCGGGCAGGGAGGCGCGGAAGCGGAGGCGCACATAGTCAGCGAACCAGCGGCCCTCGGAGTCGCAGAGCGTGGGGTGCAGGGCGAGCTGCACGTCGTCGTACACGGCGTTCTTGTCCGCCTCGCTGAGCCCTGGGGGGAAGAAGCTCTGCGCGAAGGCGTCCAGCCAGCTCGCCACGCCGTCCGGCAGCAGCGTGGGGCGCGCTATCACCTCCATGTGCTCCACCTCGAACCCGTGCAGCTCCAGCAGCTGCCTGTTGTGGGTTGGGGAAACATGGCGGGCGGTTGAGAGAGAGAAGGCAGGGAGAGCAGCGCCTCCCTTTCCATGCCACCCAGCCTGGCCCCGCTGCCATTGCTCCTTTTCAAACAAACACCGACTCTCACTTGAACCTCTCCCTTCCCATAAAACCACAATCCTTGCTTCCTCGCCGCCCTCTACCCCAGGCCTTGTGATGTGGGCGGGCGCACCTGTATTCCTCCTGCGTGGGGAAGTACCACGGCACCATGGCCGCCGCGTCTATTCCTCGTGACCGCAGCACCGCCACCAGCGCCGTCACCACCGATGCCACGTTGCCAAAACCCCCCATCTCCGCCACGAACCTGGGGAAGGGAGGAGGGAAGGGAGGGGGGAAGAGAGGGGGGAAGGGTGAGGAAGGCAATGCAGGTGGACAATGGGTGTGGGGGGGTGGAGAGGAGTGGGGGGTGCCATGTTGCAGCAAAGATGGTAATCCGGGTGCTTGGAGAGAGGAGCAGGCAACAGAGTGGTGGTGCGGCCAAGGTGGTGAGGAAGGGGTGGGGTGGGGTGGGGTGTGGTGGGGTGGGGTGGGGTGGGGTCTGACCTGCCGCCGGGCTTGAGGGCGGCGCGCACGTTGGCGACGACGAGGGAGGGGTCGCGCTTCATCCAGTGCAGCGCCGCGTTGCTGAACACACAGTCAAACTCCGATGCAAACCTGCCACGAGGGATCGTATGGGGGAGATGGAAGGGCGGAAGAATGCGGGAGCAATGGATGAGCGCTCACACGGGAAGGGCGGGTGGCGGAGGCAGTGCAGCAGGTCAAGGCAAGGCAGTGAAAAGCAGCGGAGCCACGTCATGCAGAGCATGGAGCAGTCAGTGCGATAAGAACACGTACTGGTGCACGCTTCAAAACGAGAACCAGCCAGCACTCACTCAGTACAGGTGGCCTTATCGAGAACTCACTGCAGCTGGCAGGCGTCAGCCAGAATGGCGTTGACCCCGTCGCGGCGTGCCATCTCCACCATGTCCGGGGACGAATCCACACCCACCACGTGGCACCCCAGCGCTGACAGGAACTTGGACAGCGTGCCCTCGCCACACCCCAGGTCCAGCACTCGCTCGCCTGGGGAGAGAGGATGTGTGGGGGGGAAAGTCGGGGGGTGGGTTGAGGAGCGTGCAAGGAAAAAGCGCAGAGAGGGGTTAAAAGAAAGCCCATCCCTTTCACCCTATTTCCCGCTTCACTCAACACAGGAAAGAAATTGCAGGCATGTGTACCTGGGAGCGGGGCGAGCAGGTCAACGACGGGCAGGCCGAGCGTGGGCACGAAGGAGAAGGACTTGCGGTACGTGGTGGGGTTCCACCGCGTGCGCTGTGGGGGAAGGAAACGGAGAGGAGTGGCGGAACAGCAGGGGAAAAGGAGCAGGACGAGAGGGTGAGGGAGAGGTTGACGTCACGGCATGGACTGGTTGCTGTGTGCCACACTGCATGCACAGGAACCAGTGCATTACGCACACACAGTGCCTTGCCACACCCGCAGCCCGCCCTCGCACGTTACTCCCATCCCCCCAACACGCGCACCTTCCTACTGGGCGCCACATCTTCATCGCTGTCATCGCCCTCCCCTGCCCGCCCTGCCAGCTGCTCCTCCTGCGCGTCCCCTGCTCGCACACACACAAACACACACAGGGGGGAAGAGTGGCGGTTTCTGGCTGCCCTGGCTCCTGTGCGTGCTTCGCTGCATTCACTGCGAGGCGCGTTGCGAGAACGGCCCAGCGGCGTGCGCACTCACGCGGCTGCACGATCTCTGTGCACCAAGCCACGCATTATCGCCCCCAGCACCGCTACCCCACCCACTCACGGGAGCTGGCGGGCTGCTGCTGGATGGCGGCGCTGATGCGGCGCTTGAAGCGGCTGAGCCAGCCGTCCGACATCTTGAACTCGCCCGCCGCGATGCCCCGCTCCCCCGCCAGCTGCCGTGCCTTGTCCACTATAATGGAGTCCACTATATTGGGTCGCTGCGATATGATCTGTCAGGCACGCACGCACAAGCTGCACCTTGTAAGAACACTGGGGAAGGAGGGAATCTGAATAAATGTGATATGGACAAATGTGCCAAACGGCTCAGCACCGCATTGCACCTCTCGGAACCAATCGATGAGCTCGTCCTCCAGGTCCGGGAATTTGCCGAGCCTCTGGCGCTTCTGCCGAGCCTCAGCGTCGGAGAGGTGGAGCCACTTGGGCGAGTCCTTGAGGATCTTGCACACCGTCGTGCGGCTCAGGCGCACGCCGTGGCGCGCCTCTATCTCCGCCACGATCATGTCTTGCGACATCTTGTCGCTGCGCTGCTTCAGCTCGCAGATCTCGCGCTTCATCTCCCCCGTCAGGCTGCTCCGCCGCGCGATGCCCTCCATGTCCGCTCCCGCGCGAGGGGTTCCGCCTTCCGACCCCGCGGGTTCCGCCCCGCCCTGGCCGAGTGCGGCGGAGGTGTCCAGGTGCGCGGAGGCCTCCCCGCGCGGCATGAGCGCGGAGGCATCGGCGCGGGCGGCTTCCGCGTCGGAGACGAGGCGGCGTTGGCGGAGAATCTCGACCTTGCTGACCATCGGCGGATGGCGGAGGGGGAAGGGGCTGGCGGGGGGGAATGAACGAAAGAGGGAGCGGCATTGCAGGGGGGGTGACGACCTTCGAGCGACCGATGCAAACGGGCTCACTCGGAACAACCGAAAGGCGGCGAGCGGAAGGGCCATTGCGGGCACGCAGGGGACGCGACTATGCAGACACAGCAGAAACGACGGACGGAATTAGCGAGGAATAAAGGGGCCTGAAATTGTAAAAAAGTTACACGCCTACCGAAAGCTCGTTGTCTGACGAGCGGGACACGTTGTGCTCCACAGTGCCGCGACCGTCGCCTTATATACGTACGTCAGCCTTTCGAAGAAGCTGCCAGGAAGAAGCTAGTCTAGTGCGGATGACGAGGGATGATGAAATCGAGGGTGGCGTGTGAAGTGAAGTGGCTTGGGTGGGGGATGTGGTGGTGATTGGCGGGAAAAGCTGAGACGGGCCTGTCAGAAGGCAGCAGTGGGGTTTACGCATTGACTCGGGTTTGAGAGATTCGGTTTTCCTGTATAGGAAGAGTCAGTGATACATTTTTACGTGAAGATATGAATAAACCCTTCTTTTAAAAAAATGTACCGTAAGGGTGCAGACTTGATCATATTATTGTTTCAGCATACAAATAACCGGCCCCTTGAAGGCTGCCTGCTAATAGCGATTTTCATTCACAGATATTCGTGCGCGTGAAACTAAGGACCTGTCGATGGCTGCCACGTGGGCGTGTGCATTCCGTTGACGCCACCTTATTCCCCGAATTCGCGAAATCAAGGGGTTGGCGCGGAAGTAGGGGAAGAGGGGTGGAGGTGCGGGGGAGGGAGCGGGAGAATCCGCGATCCCTCCCCAGTAGCCCCTCCCTCCCCACTCCCCGTCGAGTTGCCCTTAGCGCCCCGCATTGCGCTTGCGACCCCGCCGAGCTATTCCCACTTTCCTCCCCATCCCCCGCGTCACGCCCAACCTGCCCAGATCCGCCATCACACCCACGCTCCGCTGCGTGTGCATCTATGTATTGCCTCCGCAACCTGCCATTCTCCACCAAGGCAGAACACGGCACCTTAGTTTCTGACGAGCGTTGTTCCGGCAGAACTCAAACCTACCTTGCCTTGTCGCGCATCGCCGTGTGCTCGGCATCCGCAAAAAGGGGAAGATCGTCTCCTTTACGCCGTGTCGAGCTCGTGTCGTTAGTGCTCTGACGTCAGCATGCACGCCGTCAGGGCTCTGCGGCGAACCATCGCCAGCCGCGTCGCGCCGGCTGCTCGTCTCGATGGGTTCGCAGCCGCGGCCGCGGCGCAACGCCGCTTCGCGTCGTCCGTTTCCGGCGAGGTACTCCCCGCCTCCCTGCCCCCGCGTGAATCGCATCGGATCGTTCTCACTCCGTCCCACAACGATCGCCTGCCTGTTGCATTCCTTCGTGGTCTGTTCCTCCCCCGATGCCTGCATTGCTCTTCATGCGCCATTCGTTGACTAATCTTATTGACCGGAAAAGCGACGACGAGTATGTCAGAGCGGAACCGGGCAGCACAGTGCCGCATAGAGTCGCTCGCTATGATCTTCCCAGATCCCTCATCGTGTCCGTCGAATCTGCTCCGCCATGTGCTTCCGCTCAAGCCTGAACGGCCCTGTTCGGATCGTGGTGTTCGCTTTTGCCCGCTTCGCGGCTGTACCGCGGTGATAGCCGTATTGATGGTTTCGGCTAAGATCCGATCACGGAGATGCGGCGTCCTTCCCCCTGCGCCGTGTGCCATGT